GATTAATGACCTAGACACATGTAGACAAATGGATTAGATTGCTAAACTCGTGATTAATGACCTAGACACATGTGGACAAATGGATCAGATTGCTAAACTCGTGATTAATGACCTAGACACATGTGGAAAAATTGATTAGATTGCTAAACTCGTGATTAATGACCTAGACACATGTGGACAAATGGATCAGATTGCTAAACTCGTGATTAATGACCTAGACACATGTGGACAAATGGATTAGATTGCTAAACTCGTGATTAATGACCTAGACACATGTAGACAAATGGATTAGATTGCTAAACTTGTGATTAATGACCTAGACACATGTGGACAAATTGATTAGATTGCTAAACTCGTGATTAATAACCTAGACACATGTGGACAAATGGATTAGATTGCTAAACTCGTGATTAATAACCTAGACACATGTGGACAAATGGATTAGATTGCTAAACTCGTGATTAATGACCTAGATACGTAGACAAGCTTTGAACATACAGTTCAACCAGTTTTGTGATTCACTGACTGACAAACTGGTGAACACTTCTGGACAAGCTACACTTGTAGACAGACTAAATACACTTAAACCAGTGTTGAGATTCATGACTTCACTGAGAAACTAGAGAACACATTTAGATACAATACACATATAGACACAATTTGAATACAAGGCTAAACTGGTGTCCTCATTCAAAGGTTAAGGACTGATGCATAGGTGAGTACATGGCAGATACTAATTTTATTATACAACTAAGGCACTGTCATGATCCACAGCTGGTGAACACATTTAAACCACACACAAAATCCTGGATTACACAAGCGACTTTGTAATACACTGATGAACATGTGGGTAGGCAAACTTCGATTATACAATTAAACCACTGCTGTGATTCACAGAAAAGCTGGTGAACACATGCAGATAAGCTACACATGTAGACAAACTTTAAGAAGCGCCAATATCATCAGGATCGATCACGTAAATGCCACTTACCCTGCATGGCTGACTAAAAAGCCTATAGCTAATGCCATTGGTTGTGTTTGCACCTGCACAGTGTTTAGGAGGTTAAGATATGAATATGTTTACTAAAATACTACAGTATTCTGATTCATAACTGAAGAATTGTTGAGTGCTACTGCACATACAGGCAGATGAGCTTGGATTACACACTAGGATAGCAATATGAAATACTGTTGAGGTGATTTCACATTAAGATACCAATATGAAATAATGTCGCAGTACTCAACAGCTGCAAGCTATAGATTGTGCTTACCGTTGCAGTAGACAACAGCTGCAAGCTATAGATTGTGCTTACCGTTGCAGTAGACAACAGCTGCAAGCTATAGATTGTGCTTACCGTTGCAGTAGACAACAGTTGCAAGCTATAGATTGTGCTTACCGTTGCAGTAGACAACAGCTGCAAGCTATAGATTGTGCTTACCGTTGCAGTAGACAATAGCTGCAAGCTATAGATTGTGCTTACCGTTGCAGTAGACAACAGCTGCAAGCTATAGATTGTGCTTACCGTTGCAGTAGACAACAGCTGCAAGCTATAGATTGTACTTACCGTTGCAGTAGACAATAGGTGCAAGCTAAGGACTGTGATGATGATCACGTTCAACCCCACTAGGACACCATACCAAGCAATAAACACCAGGTGACACAAAGTTCCGTATGAACAGGTTCCAGAAACCCCGTACAATCCATAGGTCGGGTTATTTTAGGTCATCTGACAACAGCCAGTGTGTGGCTTAAAAACAACAAAAATGTGCGTCCAACATTGGGACACAGCGATTTTTGATGCTAAGGACTGTTACCTCCATGGACTACAAATGAACGATTTGTCAGATTCATGATTCAAAACCTGAGTGTCTTTGTACATGTGTTGTGGATAATGAGAAGACATAAATGTATTCTATAAAATTATTTATATAACTGCTGCGCATATATATGCTAAAATCTTGTATTACTGCCAACATACTACGCACACAAATCACATTCATCTTAGGACTGAATACAGCATTATGTCAATACATGTGTTAATGTAAAAGAGAAAATGTCTTTGATACAACTGGTACATACGTTTTATAAAGCCCAAATATTACGTATTTGCCAGCCAATATGCTGTCAATTCATGCAACATTAGACAGCTGATTATAGTAAAATATGGTAAACAACAGAGAAAAAAGATTATATTAACATGTAAGAATTTTTATTGCGTACATTTAGAATAGCTCATACAAAACATAATATACATCAATATCTATGGTTAGTTTATGTACAGATTGCAAAATAATGTCTCATTTCAATGTAGTCTTACAAAATTATGTTTATAATCTTTTGCTAGAATTGCTGCTCAACTGGATTTGATGAAAGTTCTGTGAATAAATTTGTAAGTTATTTAGTTCAATTATTTACATGAACACACATTTACTGGCTCTGTTGAAGCTGATGCTGAGCTGCTGTTATGTATCACAGCTTATTGCTGATGATGTTACTGTGTGTCAAAGTTATCAGTGATGAAGTACTATTGTTATGTGTCATGTACGATCATTTAATGGTCATAAAATGTCATGAATCATCACACATTAAGGATATGAGGTTGTCACATATCATTACTTATAGATGATGAAGGTCTGTTATGTATACTATAACTTGTCGATGATGAGGTGTCACTATCATCACATATCAAGGATAAGGGGTTGCCATGTACCATTACTGAGTGATGATAAAGTGCTGTCACTATTGATGATGAGGTGTTAGTATCATCACACATCAAGTATAAGGTGTTGCTACGTATCATTACTTACAGACAATGAAGTTTAGTCACATACTTTCACCTATCAATGATCGGGTATCAAATATCAAGGATAAGGGTTTGCCATGTACCATTACTGAGTGATGATAAAGTGCTGTCACGTATGATATCATTAAGGTGTTGCTACTTATCATTACTTACAGACAATGAGTTTAGTCACATACTTTCACCTATCAATGATCGGGTATCAAATATCAAGGATAAGGGTTTGCCATGTACCATTTACTGAGTGATGATAAAGTGCTGTCACGTACTATAACATATTTTATCTACATATGAACATTCTCTGTCCTGATGTTGCACACATGACTTACCACAGTATATGACTGGCCTTTAATATGAATATAAAACAAAATATGACAAGGAAACATCCACTCGCATCCTTGAAATGAGCAAAATTCAGTTCCCCTTTGTTCATATACATATATGATTCAACACATACTAAGAAGTATATACATACAGAATAATGTGTGTATCTGGACACATTTTATGGTGATGGGGAAAGAGTGCTGTGGTCTCGAGCAAAGATATCAAAATGCATCACTAAGATGATAATTATTCAGCCCTTGGTTGAACACAAAACAAAACTTGTATAGAGGCAGGTGCTTTTACAGATTGCTGTGACAAGATATTCCTGTGTGTTTAGACTAAGGATGTCCTGTGTGTTTAGACTAAGGATGTCCTGTGTGTTTAGACTAAGGATGTCCTGTATGTTTAGACTAAGGATGTCCTGTGTGTTTAGACTAAGGATGTCCTGTGTGTTTAGACTAAGGATGTCCTGTGTGTTTAGATTAAGGGATGGACTGTGTCCTGTGTGTTTAGACTAAGGATGTCCTGTATGTTTAGACTAAGGATGTCCTGTATGTTTTTGACTAAGGATGTCCTTAGACTAAGGTTGTTTAGACTAAGGATGTATGTTTAGACTAAGGATGTCCTGTGAGTTTAGACGAAGGATGTCCTGTGAGTTTAGACGAAGGATGTCCTGTGAGTTTAGACGAAGGATGTCCTGTATGTTTAGACTAAGGATGTCCTGTATGTTTAGACTAAGGATGACCTGTATGTTTAGACTAAGGATGTCCTATATGTTTAGACTAAGGATGTCCTGTATGTTTAGACTAAGGATGTCCTGTATGTTTAGACTAAGGATGTCCTGTATGTTTTTAGACTAAGGATGTCCTGTATAAGGATGTCCTTGAGTTTAAGACTAAGGATGTCCTGTATGTTTAGACTAAGGATGTCCTGTATGTTTAGACTAAGGATGTCCTGTATGTTTAGACTAAGGATGTCCTGTGTGTTTAGACTAAGGATGTCCTGTGTGTTTAGACTAAGGATGTCCTGTGTGTTTAGACTAAGGATGTCCTGTATGTTTAGACTAAGGATGTCCATATTGTTTAGACTAAAATTTCCCGTGTGTTTAGACTAAGAATGCTATTAATATGGTGGTCTGACAAACTACTTTCCCCACTGTTACTGTAAAGGTACAAACTAAATTTAACTTGACTACTGTAGATAAAACGTATGAAAGTTACAAGGGGAGAAACCAGACAAGAACGTTCTGTAGAAAAGTACACAGCTTTTATATACTGCTGTGAAAACAACATATCTAGACAAGATATTTATATGGTTAGACTAAATATACTTTTCAGATGATGCTCGGGTGATTTGGATTCACAGATGATGAAACATAAATACTGCTTTTCTGACAGTTTCTATACAGATACAGTGTCATTTAAATACTTTTTTTTCTAGTAATAACAACTGGAGACAAAAGTTAAAAGTGGCCAAGCCAGACAAGGATACTTGCAGGAGCCTAAATAAGAACAGTAAACCAATTCAGAAATGTTGTTATAAGTTGCTACATGGTAAACGATATACAGAGAGGGAAACTTGAGCACTTACTGGTTAAATGGTTTAATATGCATTGATGATAATTTGTTGACTAATTAATTAATTTAAGGCAAACTATAAGAAATATCTAATGCCATCTTGATTCAAATTTGATTCCTACACTCCTTACAGTTCATTTAGTCGACCAGAGGAACAGTACGTATAATGTTTAAACAAAACATGATGCCAGCAATGTACTGAGAATCCAGATTCATGTTGCAGTCTCTTCAGATAATGTGTAAGCTAAAGAGAGTGATTGGATCTCAGGAAATCAACATCAACTATCTATGACTACCATTAGCATGTTTCATAATTCTTGGCTTTGTCTCTGATCTCTTTGAGATACTCATCCATCAAAGCATTCAGCCTGTCAATTTCTTCTTGAAGCTTCACTAATTTCTCTTCACTGCCGCCAATCTTCTGTTCTATATCTGAAATAAATCAATAAGAAGTTACAACCAAGACAACAAATCTGACTGTTTTCTCTCTCACGGCTACTATCTGCATGTCTGACCATCCCTTCAACTCACATGAGTTGCATTCTGGATGGCAGTCAAAACAGGGCAAATTCTATTTCACCCCCCTCCCCTTCCCCAAGAAGTTATACTTAGGGCACGCATTAAGTCTCCACCACCCTGGTGTACCCTGTAGTTCAGGCTAGGTAAAGAGTTAAATGAAAACAAGAAAAAAAGAAAAAGTCAGCGTATACGATGAATAGACACACACACACAAAAGCAAGGGATCAGAATTCCTACATATTCATATTGGATGTGAGCTTAATTTTCTGTAAGGCTTGGTCTTCAGACAATTGTAACCTATACACTGCTTCTTTTGTCCTGCTGTTTATGTCATAAAGCATCGCAGAGAGGAGTTGGATGTAGTTGCCTGTTTGTAGCTAGTTACTTAGCTTGTGTTAATGTCATACTGCATTTCTGTGGTGTCTCTTTTACTCCCTCTACCCATCTCTTTCTTCGTCGGTCTCTTGACTTGTAGTCTGCTGTTCTCGTTCAGTATACTCTACCTGCTGGCTGACTGCTCAATTCTGTACACTACATGGTGAAAACAGGCCTGACTGCAGTGAGGCTGATATAAAGACATTAATCCACTCAACTGTGTTGAAGAAGCTTAACAAGGAAAAAGGAAACAAAAACACACAGAGAAACAGACATTTCGGCAGTGCACCACAACCAGATGCTGCATTTGATGACACATTCAATACAGGTGTACTCTGAGATTACAGTGCCCGGTTCTGAATTATGGTCTGTACATTTCTGCCAAGCCTGCTTATACTGTCATGTTCTGGTCTATGAATTTTTTGTCATCACTCTAATTTGTCTTCACAGATCGCCTCTGCATCATTGAAACTCTAAGGTGGATGGGACTGCACAAATGTCCCTGCAGCCTCCATCTTTTTATTTCCAGGGATATCACGCTGGGCTCCACTTGGAGACTAGTTCTTGTCAGCATCGTTCTGATGTAGGTTTTAATTTCCCTGATGATGTTGCCCTGTTTGGAGCATGAGATGACTTGAAGGACTACTTTAAAGCCTCTGAATTTAGCAGTGTTATTGTTCAATTCCACTCGACTACTAAGAGTAGATAGATGATAGGAGGGCCGCTGCCTCTGCTCCGAAGTTGGTGCTATATTTCTTCTGCCACTATGGACTTTGTCTTGTCACTGGGTCAGGTAATAAAGATCCCCACTGCGTCCATCTGTACTAAAAACGTGAATGTAACAATTGGACGAGTCTCAAGGAGTTCTTAAAAGTTTACAATGGAAAGAAAATTTAAAAAAAAAAAAAAAAGCCAACATGATGAGTTGTTTGGTATAAACGAGTTAAAATATCATCTATCCTCACCTTTCAAGTCACTCAGTTTTGTAGCAGTAAACTTGTAGATATCATCCGCCCGAGCTTTTAATTTTGTGGCCAAGTCCTTGGCCTCTTGTGTCTGGTTATGCTTTACATTGAGTTCTACAGATGCCGAACCATAGTCCCTATCTAACTCACGAGCTTTCTGAAATGGAAGACAAGACATTATCTGAAATTATTTTTAAAGAACAGAATGTTTTTTACAGTGAAAGATCACTTTCGCTGCACCCCTGAATATCCCTATAGTGCTCAAGTCCCTACCCAAACATTACATAAGAAGAATTTCAGCCAGTGAATCAGCAAGGATCTAAAATATAGTCAGTCAGTAGCATGTCCTTTGCAGAAGTTTGCTCCCATAATAACCCTCCGTAAAACTTCTCGATCACAAGCAAGGTGTCCCACATCTGGAGATCATCCTTCACCCATCTTCTTTTTGGCCTTCCTCTTCCTCTCTTCCCAGGCATATACCCCTCCATTATTGTTCTCTCTAAACTTTCATGGTTTCTTGGGGGTTTCCAAAATATAGGCATACTAGAATTGAATACGCAATATAAATATCCATAAAAGAGGAGGTTTTTTTTTTTTTATTTTTAAAGGCAAGTGGCTGATTGTTATTTTGAGAAGAACAACACTGAGAAGAAGACAAAGTTCTTTGGTCATGTGATGAGAAAAGGAGCAGTGGAAAATATCCTGACGACTGAAAAAAAAATCACTGGTAGAAGAGGCAGAGGCAGACCAAGAGAAATTATGCTAGATGGCTTAAGACAGTGACATGGAGGAATATCATCAGCGGAAGTGATCAAGAACACCAAAGACCAAGATCTGTGGAGATGCATGAATGCCTATACCAGCCGGAGAGGCAACTGATATGATGAGATTCCAGCATCACTGCAGATGGGTTAACCAATAAGTGCTCTGTTCCCCCCGTGCCAGTGGAAATAACATAAAATTTTCTTCACTGTCCCATTTGAAAACTAGTGTACTGCTTGTCTAGTCCCAGCAAAGTGAAAAATGCATAAGGCAGCTGCCAGATGTGCCAACACTAATGGCCTTGTTACAGAATTACAGCTTACTGTTGGTGCAAATGGTCAATCCTGAAATCTGGCATTGCACCAGCAAAAGTACATATCATTCTAAATGTAAGCGGTCATCCACCATTTTAATGCAGTCAACAATATGCAGCGGACACAACAGAAAAAACACACATTCCACATGAAATCCACAACTCAATGTTGCACCGAGTACCCAACTCAGTAGCTGAGTGACGGAACCTTTTGACTTCTGGTCCAGAAATGGGGAACTTGCATCAGCAAAACCTAGCCAGAAACTGTTTATTTTTCAGAGCACCAGCAGTCAACCAGGCATCTACCATTTTGGCTGGAAGTCTGTCATTTTTCATTTCTTTTGCAATATCTTTTTCTCTGTCTTCTCTTTATCTCCGAGTGGAGCATAGGTCCTCAATCAAGTTGTCCTATTGCCAGTTTTGTCTGCTCTTTCTTTTTATTTTGAATTGCCTAGGGACATGCACATTCTGCAAATAAATATTTAATGCAAAAATCGTCTCTCTCTCTTTCTCTCTCTCACACGCACACTCTCTCTCTCCCTCCCCCGCGCTCTACACATATGTAGAGCAATGTGTTAAGAAACATTTTAGTTCTGGCATTTCCACATGTTAGTTACAGGGCCCATTTGGGAGAGGGGGGGGGACAGACACACAGTTTCTGACATTGCATAACCTGATATTACAATCATACTGCTATGGCTATTTAAGTGTAAGCAAATTTAAAAAAATGTTGAAGTTGTCAAAGAATACTGAAGACCTAAAGAGGTCAAAGGTAGGTAGGCAGTTGTACCCCACCAGGATACCACACAAGCGATAAACATCCAGTGACACAAAGTGCCACCATGCGGATGAGGATCACCTGTGGAGAGGTCCCAGAAACCCCTTTCAGCCGTGAGGCAATATATTTATATAGCATGGCTATATTCAGGGCACCCAGCAAAAGCCAGGGTGGGGCTTCAAATAACAAAAAAATTGCATCGCACATGGAGACAGAAATACTGGAAGACTAAAAATGTCAACAAAAACTGAAAGTAAACTGTTACCAAATACAGAATACTGAAAGCATAAAGCTGAACAACAAAAAAGAATAATGAAAGTTGATAAAAAGGGAAAGAATACTAGTATACCACACTCACATCAAGAGCTTCTTTAGCCAGCTTGTCAGCTTCATCTGCTGCCCTTTCAGCCTTGTCCAGTTTGTCAACTTTCAGGGCTGTATAGCGTTTAGTTAGCTGATCAAGTCTTTCTTTCAGCCTCTCTAGAAGGGCTTGGCTCTCTAAAGTGATAACATTTACACTTCCAGTGTCCTGTTTTATCTGCTCACAGAAATGATACAAAATATTTGATAAAGATGAGTATATTATCAACATTAACAAAATATTTGATAAAGATGAGTTTATTTTCAACATTAAAAAAATATTTGATAAAGATGAGTATATTATCAACATTAACAAAATATTTTCTCCTTCTTCTTCGTTCACCAGCTGTGAATTCCAGCAGAAGGTCCCGGTTGATCATCCGCTTGGACTTTTGGCTTTTACCTGGACCTGAGTTTTGCGTGTACAACCATTTTGCTGTTCCCTGCCTTGCGGGCAGATGACAAAATATTTGATTAAGATGAGTAAATTATCAACATTAACAAAATATTTGAAAAAGATGAGTATATTATCAACATTAAAAAAAAATTTGATAAAGATGAGTATATTATCAACATTAACAATCTGAATATACTAGTATTTAATGCATCACTTGCTAGCTTGAGTTAAAATCTCCCGAGATGGGGGTACTTTTTCATGATTGCATGGCACAAGAGTCAATTCTGTCTCATACAAAAAATGGATGATCAATAATTTTCAAGACAGTTAAATGTGGGTAATGTGATACTTACCATTTAAAGAGTTGGGAGCTGACTGGTTTAAAACTAGAATTATATTCCTGATATGCTCCATAGGATGGAAGCACGGTCTTTAAGTGAACTTTATCAAGTAATCAGGGGATCATGGAGTTGGTGGCCCCTCTGTATATGCAGTCTTCATAAAACTTCTGACCTCATCAGCCCACCATCAAAGCATGGGTGATAATGTCAATCGAAAATTCAGTTGGAAAATGAGGAGTCTACTGGTTGAGTTCCTTACTAAATGACCCCTTTTTGTTCAAACATCTGTCATCTGAGAGTCCTACTAAATGCAGCTTAGGTTCACATGTACATCCATAAAATGTCCTAATAAATGACAGCCAAAGTTCAGAAGTCATTCAATGATCCTTTTTAATGCCTTAAAAGGTTCAAATGTACATCCGTCCAGTGTCCTTCTACATAACAGCCAAAGTTTAGAAGTCTCTGACTCAAAAATCCTTTTAATGCCACAAAAGGTTCAAACGCCTGCTACCACTGGCCACATTTGTCAAGGTGTCATTTAAAAAAAAAGAGAAAGTCAAGCCTAATGCATACTTTCCATATACTGTCATGCTAAGTGCCATGAAAACCCATGGAAAAGGTGCTGTTGGCTACGAGAGAAGTCTAAAATGCTAAGGAAGAGAAATGCCCAAATCTGTGAAGGTCATCGAAATCTTGGGTCAGGGGCCCAACCTATGATGAATGGGAAGCTAAAGATATGGATGTGAGGTTAAGCAGCCATTTGCATTACACAACTGAAATGTCACACAAAACGAAACATGAAGGCTAACTTGGATAACAAATGCTCAAAGACGTTAGATGTGTCAGCTGAAAAGCACAAGTATTTTACATATGCAGTAAACAGGCACAGCACAACAATGTGACCAAAGCAGAGGATGATGAAGAAGATGAACTAGCCAGATGTACATACACAGAACTAGTCAGATGTACACACAGAAGTAGCCAGATGTATACATGTAAACTAGCCAGACGTACATACATAGAACTAGTCAGATGTTTACACAGAGAACAAGCCAGATGTACATACACAGAAGTAGCCAGATGTGTACAGGTAAATTAGCTAGATGTATATACACATAACTATCTTGATGTATATACACTGAACTAAGCAAATGTATATACATAGAACTTGTCAGAGGTATAAACAAAGAACAAGCCAGATGTATATACACATAACTATATGCTAAACTAGCCAGATGTATATACACATAACTATATGCTAAACTAGCCAGATGTATATACACATAACTATATGCTAAACTAGCTCGATGTAAATACAAAGAACTAGCCAGATGTGTGCACATAAAACTAGCCACATGTATGAAAATAAAAACTACCCAAATATATACATGTAAATTTAGTCAAAGTTAGACACACAGAGCCCGCCTGGTGTATGCAGGTAAATTTAGTAACATATTAAGACACATAAAATTAGCCGAAAAAAATTTAGTCAAATTTACAGCAACACAAGAACATCATAGGCATTATAATCACTGTGCTACTTTAAGTAAAGGACCCTTTTCCATGCCTTTAGGTGTATTGGGCATACAGGGTTAAACCTTTATTTTATAGACCAATCAGCACTCAGTGGGTAATGTGGTGAACATCACCCCAGCCGCCTTTACTTCCCAGGACTCTACCTGGTACCCACTCAAGGCAGGGTTGACCTGGGAGCCAAAGTCATTTCTGTAAAAAGTCAGACTCTGTCAGAACCAGAACCCACGACCTTCCGCTCCGCAGGTGAAGGTCAAGTCGCTACACCACAGCGGCTGTGCTACTATAGTTAATTTTAAAAAACGTGTTTTACATTACCATGTCTAAGTCACTTTCTGCATCCTGAATATCCTTTCTGGCTTTCTCTATAGTTCCTTCAGCAAGAGCTTGCACCCTCTTAGTCTCCTCAAGTGCATCTCTGACTTCCTGGGCATTGTTACGGATAGCCTGGGCATCACCACTGCAATGAATACAAAAGTTGGCCGCAATTATTATTATAATTTTTTTTTTAACAGGACACTGCTGACTGACCCCTAGCATTTACTAGCTGTCTGTGTTTTTCTTCAACCTTTTTTTTTTAAAAATTTTTTTTAAAATTATTTTGTCAATGCTTGCCAACAGTTTTAACAGTGGTTCTCAACCTTTTTTTTAAGTCGAATTACCTTTTCACAGGGGTCACCAAAGACCATCGCAAAACACATTTTTATTTAAGTTTTGAAGTAGCGACAAAAATAACTATGGTTGGGGGTCGCCACAACATGAGGAACTGTATTAAAGGGTTGGGGCATTAGGAAGGTTAAGAACCACTGACTTACAATAAAGTAAAGGACTCCTTTTTCATTCATTCAGGTTTATTGGGCATATAGGGCTAGACATATACCGACACTTATACTGTTGTTAAAATCAAAGCAAAGTAGTCTGCTAAGTGCAATGAATACCTATCTCAAATTCTACATTTACATTAACTCTTTCAGCAACAAATAATGCACCATATGTGCATTTGATATTCCAAAGATAATAAAATGCTTCAGCTGTCTTCTTTCACACCCAGCTGTTATATTAACCTTTTATATCTCTAAATTATTAGGTTAGCTACTTATGTCTCATAGTATCTTTGTTGAAACCTCTCAGAAATAAGTATTTACTGCCTTTCAGTCTAACTTCTTGGAACAGAATGAGTTAAATTAACAACATCTTCGGGGCTGAAAGAGTTAAGTTACATAAACAGTTTTGTGTGCATGTGTTTTTTAAAAATAATTATAAAATGTAACTCAACTGACTGTTAACGGATGTCAAAGCAAATAAAAAAAAAAAAAGCTAAGTGACTGTATGTGATTCTGTCTGCAATGGTATCAACCCGCCAACCCAGGCAGCCACCGTCTGAGCAGTACAGCCTGTTTATACTGTCTATATCTGCAGTCTTGTTTCTGGGGATCTTTCTTAGATGAAATTGTGTTTACATCACATTACAAGTTAACTACCACTGTGGATTCCGGGGTCCTATTTTGGAGGAAAAGAAAAGGTCCACTGCCCTCATAACAACCATGTTGTAAAAGATAATAAATTAAGGTTTTGCTTGAATCAAATTTGTTGGACCGCAAGGTGCAGATATTGCAGTTTAGCTGTAAACAACACTACAATGTGCCAACCACACTTTTAGGGGCAAAGGTGGAAGAAGAAGAAGAAGAAGAAGAAGAAGAATTGCATTAAAAAATGTTCATTAATAAACAAAATCTGTGCATACGAGGCTTTTTCTGCTTGTTTTTTCAGTTCCTCAGCTGCCTCTCGGTTCTCTGATGTCTCCTCAAGAATCTTATCTATGTCTGTGAGAGTGCTGACAACACGATTAATCTTCATGGCCAGGTCATTGATCTGTTCTGGTCGCAATGAGATCCTCATGGCCAAGACCTCATTGGCAATCTGGGAAAACAAGCAATTTGGCATTAGAATTATGAAGAAAAAACTGCAAACACATTTTCGTGCGACTAGTATTTACTCGTGATGAGGAGAAAACTGGAGTACATCGTGACAGCAGGAAAGTTGGAGTGGAGGAGAGGCAGAGGGAGGCCAAGGCATAAGATGCTGGACAGTCTGACATCATGGCACGGAGGATCATCTGTGTCAGAGATGATTCAAAGTATATGAGACAGAAGGTTGTGGATAGACATGACTACCAACACCACATGGCATGGACTTTTAATACTACAGAGCTCAGTAGAGAAGATGAGGCAGACCAACAAAGACCTGATTACAGAATCTGAATGACCAAACTGGCCTTAGGCATGCAACCATGAAGTCCATTGCAACTGACCCTCAAAGTCTGAGGCAGCTGATCAGACAGTCAACAGCAACTGGTGACCCAACAACATACAGTGTTAAGGGATGATGATGATTATTTATTACTGCACAGATGAAGTATTAATTTAACAGATTGTAGAAATATAGATTCTACTTCTTCTTTTCCAGCATTCTGAGCCCATGAGGTTCACTGCTACAGATATCACCTGCCTCCATTTACCTCTTTGATTGCCCTTCTCTTTCCAGTATTTGTAGGTCTGCCTGTATATTAATCCCCCCATTCTCTTGGTCTGCCTTGTGGTCTATATAAACACACAATAAAGATTAAGTTTAATATATTTTAAGTGTACTTTCCAAACAGGAGTCGCCAAGGTGTAGCGGCTAGACGTGGGTCGGAAGGTACGGGTTTGGGTCCTGATGAAGCTGGACTTTTTTCAAAAATGACCATGGCTCCCAGGACGACCCAGACTTGAGTGGGTACCAGGTACAGTTCTGGGAAGTAAAGAAGGCCAGCGTGATGCTGACCAAATATTGATTGGTCTATAAAATATAGATCTAGCCCTATATGCCTGATACGCCTAAAGGCCGCATGAAGTAATGTGAAGGACCCTCATGAACCAGCGTAAAGGACCCTCATCAACCAGCATGAAGGACCCTCATGAACTAATGTGAAGGACACTCATGAACTAACGCGAAGGACCCTCATGAACTAGCGTGAAGGACCCTCATGAACTAGCATGAAGGACCCTCATGAACTAACGCGAAGAACCCTCATGAACTAACATGAAGAACCCTCATTAACCAGCATGAAAGACCCTCATGAACTAACGCGAAGAACCCTCATGAACTAACATGAAGAACCCTCATGAACTAACGTGAAGAACCCTCATGAACTAACGCGAAGGACCCTCATGAACCAGCATGAAGGACCCTCATGAACTAACATGAAGTACCCTCATGAACTAACGTGAAGGACCATCATGACCTAACACAAAGAACCCTCATGAACTAACGTGAAGTAACCTCATGAATTAACGTGAAGACCCCTCATGAACTAACTTGAAGAACCCTCATGAACTAACATGAAGAACCCTCACGAACTAGCGCGAAGGACCCTCACAAACTAGTGTGAAGGACCCTTATGAACTAGCGTGAAGGACTCATGAACTAATGTGAAGAACCCTCATGAAGTAACATGAAGCAAAATGAAGGACTCTTTTCTTGCCAGTGGTACATCGGGCATATGAGGCTAGACATATTTTCAAAGAAGAATCAGCCCTTGATAGGTGATGTGGTCAACGCCGACCACCTTTACTTCCCAGGACTTAATCTGCTACTCATTTTAGGCTGGATGACCTGAGAGCCAAGGTCATGCCTTAAAAAAAAAAAAAAACCTGACTCCCGCAGGTTCAAAACACAAGACCTTCATGCGAGCGTCTGTTTGCTACAAAACTATGCCATCAGCAAAATATGAAACATTAGTACTTCCCAGACAAGCATGTCACCATTTAGGAGTTGTGTGGGCCAGGCCAAGGTGCAGATATCACAGCCTGGCTGCAGACCACAATATAACATGCCAACTGTCATTTTATAGAAGAAGAGGAAGATGAAGAAGAAAAAATGACCTGAAGAAAAATGACACCAACCTTCTCAACATCATTAGGAGTGGCAGTGTTATTGCCTATCAAGAAATCCCTGATCCTCTTCACCAAATCCTCAACATCAACTCTGGTTCCTTCTGTCAAGTTCTTAGCCTTTGCAGCTTCATCATAGGCCATCTGGGCATCTGATCTGGCCTCCTCTGCATCACGTTTGGCCTCCTGCATCTGTGTTAGAAGCAATTCAAATGAGATTCTTTTAAACAAGTACACATTAAGCAGAGCTTTCATCATGGATAAAAAGTTGACACCCCCCCCCAAAAAAAAAAAAAAAAAAAAAACATGGAGAAGGGAGCTATAGAGTAAAGTTAAAGAGAAGAGGAGGACACGGGGACAGCTGCATGCAAAAGCAAAGGATAAAATGACTTGGTGTGACTTGGTTGAGGGCCAATGCTACTTGGGGTTAGAAAGGCAGAAGATGAAGAGCAAGAAGCAGAAAATGATTTTTAAAAAAAAGGGGGGGGGGGGGGGGGAATATAATATGAAGAGATAGGCAACATACATTTGTCAGAGTTTACAAACATGTTGAGACATAAAGAGGGCATGTGATCCACTGTAGCCAATCTTTATTATGAAAATTCTAAAGTAATATCTATTATGGAATTAGTTTTACACTACGAAAACAAGTGTTAAAAATAAACACAGTATAGTTGGCCTACCCTTGGAATCAGAATTTCTGTTGCATTTCTGGTCTTTGCGTTAAGCAGCTCTTCAGCCTGACGGGCTGAGTCTAAGGCTGTTTGTGAAATGGTGACAGCACCATCACAGCTATCACCACCACACCTTCCACATCCACCACCACCACACAGAGCAGAGCATGGAGCTCCTGGCTGACCACATACCTAGAGAAACAAAACACGGACTTTAAGTAAAGAGACAAATTACATAATTTAAATGAAGAAACAAAACAATCAAGAAACAAAACACTGACTTTAGGTAATGAGACAAATTACATACTTTAGATGAAGAAACAAAACACTGACTTTAGGTAAAGAGACAAATTACATAATTTAAATGAAGAAACAAAACAATCAAGAAACAAAACACTGACTTTAGGTAGACAAATTACATACTTTAAATGAAGAAACAAAACACTGACTTTAGGTAAAGAGACAAATTACATACTTTAAATGAAGAAACAAAACACTGACTTTAAGTAAAGAGACAAATTACATACTTTAAATTAAGAAACAAAACACTGACTTTAAGTAAAGAGACAAATTACATACTTTAGATGTAGAAACAAAACACTGACTTTAAGTAAAGAGACAAATTACATACTTTAAATGAAGAAACAAAACACTGACTTTAAGTAAAGAGACAAATTACATACTTTAAATGAAGAAACAAAACACTGACTTTAGGTAAAGAGACAAATTACATACTTTAAATGAAGAAACAAAACACTGACTTTAAGTAAAGAGACAAATTACATACTTTAAATGAAGAAACAAAACAATCAAGAAACAGAAGACTGACTTTAGTAGGTAAAGAGACAAATTACATACTTTAGATGAAGAAACAAAACAATCTAGAAACAAATCATCGACTTTAGGTAGAAAAATTACATACTTTAAATGAAGAAACAAAACAATCAAGAAACAGAACACTGACTTTAGGTAAAGAGACACATTTCATACTTTAAATGAAGAAAGAAAACAATCTAGAAACAAAACACGGACTTTAGGTAAAGAGACAAATTACATACTTTAGATGAAGAAACAAAACAATCAAGAAACAAAACACAGACTTTAGGTAACGATATTACATACTTTAAATGAAGAAACAAAACAATCAGGAAACAGAACACTGACTTTAGGTAAAGAGACAAATTACATACTTTAAATGAAGAAACAAAACAATCATGAAACTTATTCTTCTTCTTTCGTTCGCTTGAAATAAATTATCTATAACTGCAATGTTGTCTCTAGTATGAACTTCGCTGTCTTTTGTAATTCACTCAGCGACCCGTAATTTTTGACTTGCAGCGTTTCTCTTGGCCAAAAGTTTTGCCTTGATATGTTGTATTTGGGACAGTCTTGGAGGATATGATCTGTTGTCTCAGGTGCCAATCCACATGTGCCCATGGCTGATTTGCCAATTTTAAATTTTGTGTACATGTGGCTGCAAAGTCGACTGTGTTATTCAAGAAACAAAAAACTGGCTTCAGGTTAAGAGGAAACAATGACTTTGAATGAAGAAGCAGAACACTTACTTGAGATGAACAAAATGTTGAACATGAATGAAGAAACAAAACACTGATCTTTGATGAAGAAAATATACAGGCTTTAGATAAAGAAACTTCCCGTGTGGATCCTGGGGCCCCATTGTGGAGAAAACAAGAATAATCTCACTGCCTGGCCAAAAGCATGTCATAAGAGTCAACTAAATGGGAGCTTCCTTCAAAGTCGGAGTACATCTGCCTGATAGGCAAGGAACCAACAGTCTGCATGCAAATGAGTCATGTGCACACGACACTCAGTTTCTGCAACAGGACTAGAGTCCAAAAATAAACAAGCAACCAGAACTTTCAGCCGGAGTTTAAAGCCGGTGAACATGAAGAAAAAGAAGATAAAGAAACAAAACAGACTTTAGAAGTCTGCACATAGTGCAAAGAAAAACAAATTTCTAACTGGAAGACTTCTGCTTTCACAATCAACGTCATTCTATCCGAATGAAGCCTAAGCTGTATGGCCAAACTCTTTGATAATGGTTTTCTTTAACTAATGATGGTTTTCCTTAACTTTCTGAGTACCAAGCAGTTGTTACTTTGGCTTCTTATACCTAAAGAAAATTAGCTTAGAAGCAATACATTTTTATATCTAAATTAGTTCAAGAGAGACACTTTTGGACAGAAGTAGTTAAACTAATAATTCAGAAACAAAGGATTAATATAACATAGGTCAGCTATCCTCCAAATAACGGGCACTAAAGATGGCGGCCACAAAATATCCTTACGAGCCTCGGTCAAGTGTCAATTGCGCACTTCCGGCGACTTAATTTGCGGTTTTCTGGCGACTACAGCCAGGAGTCCCCCAGGCCGCTCACACGGCGTATATGGGAAAAACTAGATGGCTAGGACTCAAGAGCAAAGCTGCAGGAGATGCGAAAGCTGCTGCTCGTGAGTCCTAGCCATCTAGTTTTGCCCCAATCCACACCACTCCCTGTGGCGTGGGGGACTCGTGGCGGTAGTCGCCAGATAACCGCAAATTAAGTCGCTGGAAGTGCGCAATTGACACGTGACTGAGGCTCGTAAGGATATTTTGCGACCGCCATCTTTAGGTCTGTGACAGAAGACAGCAAAATCATAATATCTCTGGAAACATCAAGAAACTTATGATAAGATGTGTGGCCCTGAAAGAGTTAAACTAAGTTTTTTCTTTATTTAACTAATGGTCTGCTTTAAAATAGTAGTAATTATTATTATTATTATTATTTTATTATTATTATCTTCAGCAAATAAAGTTTTCAATGATAAAGAACTATCAGCAAAAAAAAAATACAAAGTGAACATTGCAAAGACTCACCATATTGTTGATATCTGACAGATCACCTCCCAGTTTTGTGACATCTGACTCCAGTAGGTCCAGTGCTTTTGTATTTTCATCAAGCACTTCTCTGAACCTCTCTTGCCTTGAGAAATACAATAGTGTTGATTATATTCTGGTATCTCCTTGATCACTCACCTCACTAGACAGCTGCCATAGCACAATGATAGAAGTTACCTGCTGGCCCAAAGTGTTGGGGTTCAAAAGCTAGGAGCCCAGGTCAATATGAATAATCTGCCTCAATGGGGGAGGGGGAGATTTGAACTAAAGACCAATTGGCAGGCAGGAAAGAAGTACTAGCTACTGTGATACCACAGATCTATCTTTACAGCATAAGGTATCTTAACTATTGTTTGCTAGGAAAAGTGTTGTCAAGGGTGGAATAAATAAACTTCACTTCTATAGGCTAGGTAGTGTGCAGGCAATATTTATGTTTATAAGATACTTTTCTTCTGGTGGATACCATTCCTTTACATTATGAAAAATTAGAATCCATGTGGGGGGTGGTTTAAACCATTTGCCTCACACACACTAAGCGTTGCAGGTTCGGTTTATTAATCCACAATCTGGTTCTGTATGTGCAGATATTTTTAGGGGATTAGGGGAACGTTTGGTTGGGGTGGGAGAGAGGGCAGGGTCATAGCTGGAGCAGCGGATTTGCAGGCTCTTCAATTACTGGCCAAATTTCCATTATGGGGGTTCTAGGACCCGATTGGGAGGGGGGGGGGGGGAGACAGACCCACTACCTCCTAATAAGCATGTCATAAAAGTAGACTAATTAGGAGCATTTCCTTCAAAGACAGAGTGCATCTGCCTGAGAGGCAAGGAACCAACAGTCTGCATACAAATAAGCCAGATCTGTAAAACAGATCCTTATGCAAAACTCAAGTTCAGCAACAAGACCAAGTCCAGAAGAAAATCAACAACCAGAGCTTTTCGTTAAGGAGTATACAGCTGCTGAATGCTAAGAAGAAGAAGAAGAACTACCAGCTTCAAGTCATATTTTATCATCAAGTGCCTTATCGGACTGGCATGGGCGATTATGTTTCTCCACATTTCCTAACAAATTCTAAAGTTATGATACATTGCTGGGTGAGTTTAGCACTCAAGGGCTCTTAGTTCTTACAGAGTGCTGAGCAAAATTTCAGAGAAAAAAATGGCAGAAAAGGGGGTAATAAAAAACACTATTTACTATTTACTGTGTACAGTTACATACAGAATGTAGCTGCAATGATTCCAATGTAGCTTAGCCATAGTATAGTACTGTCTCTTTGCTTGAAGCACTTTCCTTTTCTTACACCCTAAATATGGTAGCAATGGAACATTGTTTGTGTAAATTCACCAGAATCGCTAGATTCATAACAGCTGATCGCTCAGTTTCACTGATGAAAATTCACCATCCGAATCACATTTCGAAAAATCTAAATTTTCATTTTCATTATCCAAATTAAAATCATCTGACTGAAACAATTTCAGAGATTTGGCCGCAGAAAGACGCATTCTGCGACCTGCACTTGTGGTTGAAACATTGGTATTCATGGCACTCAAAAACAAATTTAGGAAAATGAACTGATAAAAAAAATTTTGCTGCAAATTCTTTCAAATAATGCATGTGTGATTTCTGATAGGGAAAGTTTCTGAAAGGATTTCGGCAGAGTGACTTTCCCTGAATAGTTAATTCGTACTTTCGAACATTTGCAATAAGCACACAGCCGTGTGCGAAGCAAAATGTACGGGACACACGATCAACGACGGCAGCGTTGTTCGGGCAAAATGAAACTTTTCAAACAACGCTCACACCGTTGCTTCGGCCTCAAAAAGTTAATCAAAAAAATTACAAAAATATAACCCGGATAAATCAAAATAGAAAATTATGTTAAAGTTACTGTCTTGCAATCACCAGTTGTTGGAAATATTAGCCCCTATCGGCGTCACCCTTAAGAGTTAACGTACATTCTCACAATTATACTTTTCTCTTATGATACGAGTCGGCTCTGTGGCTAAGTCGATGCGAACGCTTCATAATGCCGGGTTCGATCCCAGCTGCGGGCCATGCGCCTTGCGTTGGTTTCGACAGTGGTTTCAAGAAAGCCGACCATCCAGAAAGCAATGGCAAACTACTAGACGTAAATTTGCCTAGAAAAACCACACAACAGCCAGGGGCTGTTGGGGTTGGTTCTGCAACGTCCAGTAAAGGATACACAACTAACCTTATGATACGAATGTTAGGAAAATTAGAAATGTTTTTTTCAAATATTTATTCACCCAGTAACAACCATTGAAGTCTGATCAAGGGCAAAGCAGATATTAAGAGAGAAAACGCAAAGAGAATGAAAACTCTACCTTGCATCTATGAGTCTCTCAGCTTCTAATCTGACTCTCTCTGACTCTGCCAGATATCTTGAGGTGCCATCTACTTGAGCTTGTGCTTCTCTTGATTGTCGCTCAGCTTCCTTAACTTTCTCAAAGGCACCTGAAAAATTAAAAATTCTGATTTATTCAGATTCTAACTTGACAATCCCCATACTGACAATAGTTTTAGAAATGAATTATTTCTATGAATTAACATTTATCATTAACATATATATGTATCTGTACACAAATGAATACATATCCTGCTTTTGAGTAGAATAAAAAACACAAGAATAAACCTGGCATTTTCTAGAAATTCTTTTATCTTATCTATGACAACAAAATCCTGTGGTTTTGAGGTTTTTACTTACCTCCAACTTCCTGAATCTGTATATTGGTTGCATTATCCTGCAATTCCCTGGCTAAAGCTTTGAGGTTATCAACACGAGTTTTGAGAAGCTGGATTCTGAAGCTGTCCTTCTTCACTTGACCTGTGGCAGTACGCAGGTCTTCATCCACTCCATTCAGTGCTTTAGTGTTTTCTGTCAGGTTGGATCTGTTCAAGACACAGCAAATTATTTGTGTGCGGCCTAACAATGTATTTCTCACAACCATATTTTATTTCACACAACCACATCTACTAAACATGCGTGTGTTCTTTCATAAATGATGGTATACATTATATATGTTTACAGCCGGGAAGTAAATGTGGTCAACAAATTCCCAATGAAGTCGGATGTGTCAGCCAAAAGTTGCAAATATTGCAGCTATGCTGTAAATGGGCTCAATACAATTATGTAACTCAGACGAATGAACAGAAGATCTCTTTACAGCATGTTTGACAGATTTCCAACTGCTGTATTTTAAAATGTTTTAAACAGATAAATTTTATTAACAAATAACCAGGTCTGTTGCAATTTAAAGTTAAGACGATAGACTTTATTGTACCGGATATTATCCCAAATGACTGGGGGGACGGGGGGGGGGGGGGGGGGGCGGTTGTATGTTCTTTCATTCACTTGTTCTGCAGAATGACTAGTCACCTGCCAAGAGTGTTGCATAAAGTACAAACTTTACAGCTACTTCAAAGATCTACATAAAAATTGCATCTATGAAGTGAACATCTGTGTAATGAACCCATGGCCTTCAGAGTGTGAAGAAGTATTCTTGAAAAATATAAGAATGACCCAGTTGGAATTCCAGTATAAAATCCCAGAAAAAGCAACAATTTTAAACACATAACTGACAAATTCACGAACATTATATTTATCTACATTTGTAAATTTATTTCTTCAAGATATATTAATATAAATGAAGGGGTTAATCAATAAACACGAACAGGGTGAAGCATTAAATGAAATACATTCTCTTCTCTGGGCCTAGAATACATCAGTATCCAGTTACTCATGCTGTGACACCATGCCCTATATCACTGTTAGTTCATGTATTCATATCCTGACCTCTCAAATATTTGCGCAAGTGTGAAAACAGCCAGTAGCCTTATCTAAGCATCTTGTAAAACCGGTCACTATAGACAAGTTGGGAAGGTGACAATAATGGGGAACTGGACCCAACTGGAAATGTTGGTAGAGCAACTTCTTGGTTAACCCTAGCAGACCTTAGGCCCTGAACATAAGTGCCCCCTATACCTGAGTTCCTTGGCATCAACACGAAAAAACCAACATGATATACACAAATATTAGTTACATATAAACAAGTGGTTAGAATAAGATGAAACTTGGAGACATTGTAGAAAATAAGTTTAACCCTACCAGACCGCTGGCTCAATTTTCCGGGAATTTCTTAACCTAACGCTATACCGCTGGCCCTAATTTTCAGCTATTCGCGTACAGCGTGAAAAAGATGCGTCATAAACTAGAAATAACTAGCCAATTGTAATCAGACCTCGTGGATAGTCTTCCTAGATGTCCGCTCGTTTCAGTGTGAATTTTCAGAATTTTTTCACGTTAAACCACACAAAGTAAATCCAAACACATATGGGCAGCAATTCACAATGACTAGTTATTTTTAGTTTATGACGCATTGTTTTCACGTGAAATTCCCGCAGCAGCGGTACATCGGTCTGGTACAGTTAACAACCAATGCCCAAAGAGAAAGCTGTTAGCATAAGCATGGAAATATTCTACAACTAAAGTACATCTAGCTCCTTCCTTACTTGACAGCCTCCAGCATGTTCTGTATGTCTTTGATGTCCACCTGTGTGAAGTTGATGCTGGAGAGAATCGTGTTGATCTCATCTATGTTGTCCTGCAGGAGGCGGAACTCATCATCAAATGCCTTGATAGCACCCGTCACTGACACATCATTGGCCCTCTTCACAATGTCGTGTGTCTGGTCTGTAATTAAAATGATATTAATCAATCTAACTGAACTGATTCCCAAACAAAGATTCTGTCACTCACAGCTCACAACTTAATGCAAGTATTTTTTCTTGGACACACTTATAAAATGCTAATATGATTGCTGTAATCCCAGATTTGTTCATTGTCACTACTGTCAGTAGGTACCACTTTTTAGGGTGGTGTAAACGGTGGTGTAGAGGGTGGCAGTGAGGGAGGGGGGTGGGGGGAGGGGGTTATGAGCCTGAGGATTTAGGCTGTATTACTAGTGCTGTCACCATGGATTAGGCAGGTTAAGATGTTTTCTGCCCCCGACAAAACATCCATCACCTTACTGGGGGTCGAACTCAGGTCTCCCACATAAGAGCCCAATGTTGTAACTGTTTAAGCCAGCTGCTCCTCACCTTTGTTTATTAACAGGCAAAAGTATCAAACAAGTATAACAAAAGCAAAACTAATTTGAAGTATTATAATAACATTTAAAATGGCATGACAGCTGTATTGTTCTGATAGCAATGGCAAACTACTGAAAGTAAACCTGCTTAATAAAACCACAAAACAGCAAAAAAAAAATGTTAACGCTGGTTCGCAGTCTTGAAAAAGAACTTAGAACTAATTTGTTCAGCCCATAGTGTGAGGAGGTCATTGAATAAACAATTTTATCGCAATGTGAATTAGACAGCTAAAAAATATGGGCTAGTAACTAGGGTCTAGCTGAGATGCTACTGCAGCGCTCAAAGTACACTAGTAAAAAAAAAAAAAAAAAATACAGAAAATATAAATGCTATATGAACATGTAACAAACTCATCTGCAGATAATCACATTCACTTAATTTGATAAAAATATTACTGTGCAAATACCTCGCAATTCCATAATAATTTTGTCCCAGTTGTCAAAGCACTCCCCACAAGGCACACAATTAGGCAGGTCACCAGTGGTTCCCCTGGCACAGCGGTCACACTTGAATCCAGTGACCCCTTCCACACAGACACACTGGCCGGTACGACGGTCACACTGCATCGCCCTTGAGCCCTCAGGGTTACAGTCACATGCTTCAAATATAAAACACATTTACTGCAAGCTACATAGAAATGGGATAAAAAATAATTCAGTGGTAGACATTAGGCATGGTAGTGTGAAGTGTCAAGTCTTCACACATAATAAATTAAAAGATAGAGTTTCCCTGTGTGGGTTCCAGGGCCAAATTTTTTGGGGGAAGGGGGAAAAATAGACCCACTGCCCCCCCCCCCCCCCCCCTTTTCTCCCAACAAGCATGTTGTAAAAGGCAACTTATTAGGGCAGTGATTCCCGAACTGTGCGCCGCGGCGCTCCGGAAGCCCCGAACCACTTTACAGGGGCGCTGCGAAATATTCAAAGATACACAAGTTTTATTTGTTTCTAATTCTTACAGACGAATAGTCATACATTTACTTAGGTTAGGGCGCCGTGGAAACATTTTAATTGAAAAACAAAGCGCCACGACTAAGAAAAGTTTGGGAATAACTGTCTTAGTGTGTTTCCTTTCAAGTCAATGCATCTGTCTGAGAGGCAAGATTCCATCAGTCTGCAAACAAATGAGCCATATCTGTTTTTAAAAAAATGTGTGTATGCAAAACTCAAATTATGGAACAAAGCTGAAGACCAGAAGTGGATGAACAACCAGGCCTTTCCATCAGAGCTTACAGCCAGTGAAAACGCTAAGAAGAAGAGATGGGTTGACCAGATCTTTTCTTACCATCAAATAAATTATGTAAATCTTCCAGTTCTATTTGACAGAGATGGCGCATTCACAGAGTCAAAGTTAGAAAGTAAAAGAGCTGTTTCAAACTTCCTAAGGCTTATTTGATATTGCCCTACACTTTTATGGACCAATCAAAACTGGACCTGGATGGGTGATGTAATCAATATCATGCCCTTTACTTTCAAGAATTTGTCATTTAAGGAGCATCTGGGAAACAAGCAATTTAAAAAAAAAATCCTTGCCCATGATAGAGATATGAACTTGTTAGATACAAACTTGCATCAGCAGCTGTCAGCCACTCAAGATGAGGAAATAATCCAAATTTGTCACTATGGTGGCCCATACCAATGTTGATGTTGGCACATAATGACAATGCTATAATATCAAAGTTGGGAGAGCAGATTCTGATAGGAAGATAGGTCAAAGCAGACTGACATTTCAAGAAGGGTAAATAAGAAGGTGGGCTAGGGCATCAAGGTAAGAAAGTAAATTGAGATATCAAGATAGGTAAAAAAAAAAAGCAGAATGAGAGATCAAGACCAGTCAAGAAAGCAGATGGAGATGTCAAGCTAAGTCAAGAGATTTGAAATATCAAGAAAAGTGACTGAGAAATCGATATACTGTATATTGTAGTGTGTAAGTCAAGGTGTCTAGTGTAAATCAATGTTTCCAAAACTAGGAGTCAGCTTATTTGGCAGGTATAAAATACAAACCTTTACTTAGTTGTAAACCAATGAGGCAGCACTCCTGACGTAACACAATGTTCCAAATCTTCTGCAGGCTGCCACATATCCTTCAAAACTTCTGTTTGGTGACTGTATTTGCCATATTAACCAAAATATTTGGGGGTCGAACAACACAGTAAGACTAGGCCTAACTCCGAATTGTGAGCTAAAAATCATGAGGTCAATGTGTACACCAAGTCGACTTGAAAGCCACAATTATTGACGGTTTAAAAAGAACAAAAAAGTTGATTAAGCTATTAAGACAGTTCAAGAACGCAGACTGAGAAATCAAGATAGATCCGGAAAGTAGATTAAGATAACAAGACTGGTAAAATACCCAGAGACTGAGCTAACAATAGATGCAAGTAAATCAGATTTATATATCCAAATACCAGAGACTGAGATGACAATACAGGCAAATAAACCAGATTTATATATCCAAATAATTCTTAATGTACTTCTGTAAAATCATGTTTTTGTTGCCTCTAATTTGTGCTTGTGTATCATTTCTCAAATATTCACACCCAGATATTACCATATAGAAATGTATAGCAAAATGGCCATCTTTCTCACTATGTTGTTCAATGAATTACGTACACTTAAAATTCTTCTTCTTTTGATGTCGGACTATTACCAGGTTGTAGCCCAGTGTCGTGATTTTTCTGTATTTGTCTTGTGCTTTCGGGTGACAGATTCCTTCATTTTTTTTTTAAATTTCAGATTTACCATTTATCCATCTTTTTCTTTGTCTTCACTTCACCATCCTCCCAGATATTCTGCTGTTAAAAAAAATATCCTGGTTGGTTTGGCTGTATTCTCACTAGATGGTCAAACCATTTTATTCTTTGTCAATATATTTCAGACATGGTCTTATTCCAGCTTTCTCTGTAATGCTGGCATTCATAACTGTCCCATCTTGTGTTGTTCATGACCTTACGGAGACAGCACATTTCATAGTTAGTTATTTTCTGTTCTAGTGCCCTACTCACTGTCTATGTTTTGCACTGATAACATAAAGTAGGGATGAAGATGATATTAATCATTTGCTATTTTGCTTGAGGGGATATATTTGGGTGTCTAAGCAGCGAGGCTACATGGTATGTGAGAGAGCATTAAAGGCAAATCAACATTCTCTGAAACCTTACGTAGACACTGGTAATTGGGGTCTCCATAGAAGAGATCTTCACAGTCGGCACATTTGGGTCCACCTCTTCCAGGCAGGCAGTCACACTGTCCAGTCAGCTGTTTGTTCACACAGAAAATGAATTCATGAATTATGAATGAAATCATGCACTAGGAACTAACATTATTGACCAATGTTTAAAAGCAATATTATAAATCAAAATATTTTTTCTGAAACACTCATTATCAGCTTTATGTTACCGGTGGACTTTTAGGGCCTCTAATGAGCACAGAATCATAACAACAGAGACAAAAGAGCTGCCAAAGTAAGAAGAGATAAAATTAAAAATGAAGAAATCACAACAGAAAAAAAAAAGACTAGGACTGAAACCAGTCATACAATTCATTAAACAGCGGCAGAAGATGGTTTGGGCATCTGGCAAGAATGTCCTGGTACCAGCTGGCACAGAGAGCCGGGCAAGAGAGCAAGGAGAAGTGCAGTTACTGAATGGTTGTGGTTCTCCCCATGTGGGTTTTTGGGGGGAGAATACACCCACTGCCCCCTTCCCCAACAAGCATGTCATAAAACTAATTAGGGATGTTTCCTTTTAAGTTGGAGTGCATCTTTCTGAGAGGTGAGGAACCAACAGTCTGCATACAAATAAGCCAGATCTGTAAAATGGATGTGCATGCACAACTCAAGTTCTGGAACAAGACCAAAGTCCAGAAGTGGACAAAGAACCAGAACTCTCCATCTCAGTTTACAGTCAGTGAACGTATTGAAGAAGTGGTTCAATCCTTGACAAAGGAAGGAGTTTTTTTTCTATAAAAAATGGATACTGAATAATTTTCACAAATTTATGGAAAGGAAAGACAATAAGGAAGAGCACTGGCCACCTCACCTTGTAGCATAGAGTGGAAACCAAATATTTCACAAGCCAAGAGATGTAACTGCTATGGGATGTTATTTCATTTCATCGTATTTTGCCCAGGTGAAGAAGTTTTCCACAAACATCTCTTTTTTTTTCATAGAACTACTACTAAGCTACTTGCTCTTTTTGATTTCCAAGGGATTTTTTTAATGTGGGCAACAATACACACGAGCGTCTAATCTTACTACCCAGAAACCTGGAGAAAATACAAGAAGTTCGCGTGAAAAAATTCCAGCCTTCACCGGGGCCTGAGCCCGGGACCTCCAGCACTCAAAGTCGATGCCATGCCTCAAGACCACTCAGCCCCCCCCCCCCCCCTCCTCTTTTCTGTTAGGATAAACTTCTACAGCTCATGGTCAACCAAGACATACCCAAGACAGTGTAGGTTTGACTGGAGTTTCCTTCTATCCTTGTCCTGCCTGACTGGGAAAAAAGGGTACCAATAGCATACATCTCTGGATCACTGAGAATCTCAGGCCCCCCTAGATCTTGTTGTGACATCCTAGTTGTCAATGTATCAGCACGTCTTCCTGTTTCTGTCAACAACATTCTCAACATTCTTTTACAAAACCACATCTGCACCAATGTCCGTTTCTTCATCATTTCAATCCTCAGCGTCAAGCTCTTATATCCATAAACAAAAAAGCTACACACGTATTCACAACAAGTGGATTATTGCACCTATCATGCCGACGTGATGCTGACTACATCACCTACCAAGCTCCGATTGGTCTATAAAATATAGGTCTAGCCCTATATGCCCAATACACGTTAAAGCGTGGAAAAGGGTCAAATGTACTGGTTATGATATTTCTCTTTTTCAGGAAGAGGATAGGAAAATTGCAAGTGGAATTCACTTTCAGTCACATTATCTCCTTGTGAGTTATGAGGGGGGGGGGGGGGGGGGGGGGGGGGGGGGGGGGGGGGGGGGGGGGGGGGGGGGGGGGGGGGGGTGGGGGGGGGGGGGGGGGGAGAGATACCTACTGCTAGTATATCATTAAAGCTGACTAACTGAGGGTATGCTAAAACTGGATGTGTTGAGCCCTGAATGGCACAGATATCACAGATCACAGCCTACTTGTAAACAACAAAATAATGAGCCACCAACCCTTTTAAGGGCGAACACAGAAGGAGGAGGAGGAAAAGAAGAATCACAAGTTAAGTTTGGACATATTTTTACCTGGTTGCATTCAAGTGACACTGATCCTGTTGGGTCACAGTCGCAGCTGGCACATCCTTCCCTGCTGGTGATATTCCAATGGGCAACAGCACATCGGTCACACTGCTGACCAACAACATTAGGAAGACAGGGGCACTGACCGGTCTCACGGTTACACTCCCCGAGAGCATAATCTGTACCCAGTTGATAGCAAACACAACCTGGCAAGAGAAGAACAGGAAGTTTAAATGTATGCTTGGTTCTTATCTCAAGGGAGGTCAAATAGTGATTGAATTAAAACCCCCCCCCCCCCCCCCCACCCCCCCCCCCCCCCCCCCCCCCCCCCCCCTCCACCCCCCCCCCCCCCACCCCCCCAAAAAAAAATATCTGCACTGTGAAACTATTCAATTTTTTCTTTCAGAATGTGCTATAAGAAGAATATTTCAGACCCAAAAGCTGAAGGAGGAGAGGAAGAAGCAGATGCAGAGAAAGAGGAAGAATGGGAAGAGAAGGATAAGGAGGAGGTGGAGAAGGAAGAGAAAAAGAATGAACAAATAAACTTTAGTTTTAAAGGGTCACAAATTGGGCACCCTGTCTTACATTCAGCTCTTTAAAACATTCCCCACTCACATCACAACTGTATTGCATCTATAAATATGCTATTTTAATACAACAGTATACATTACATAATATTAGGAGGAGCAGCATCAGCAGAAGATGAAGAAGAAAAAGAAGAAGAAGAAGAAGAAGAAGAAGAAGAAAAAGAAGAAAAAGAAGAAAATAAAGAAGAAGTAGAAGAAGAAGATGAAGAAGCAGTAGAAGAAGAAGATAAAGAAGAAGTAGAAGAAGAAAAAAGAATGGAAGACAAAATAACAATACTTACGTTTACAGTTCTGTTGTGTAGCATCTCCATAATAACCAAGCTGACAGTGCTCACAGGCAAACCCTTCACTGTGGTACAGGCACTTGAGGCACTCTCCAGTTGTGCCATCACAGCTGCCAGGGTCATCAGGGTTGATGTTGCCATTACAGGTGCATGGCTGACAGGTTCCACCAAGCTGTGTAGGAGCTCCGTAATAGTTTTCAATACAGTCATCACAGTTACGTCCTGGAGAAAAGAGGCAAGTTGTGACACATTAGGGATGTCTGATAGATCAAGTTTGAAAATAAGCATAGCTGACATGAAGAGAAGGCAGACGACAAAGAAGAACAGACATGACACCCAAAAAAAGTATAAGTGGAAGTCAGGGTGCATCCAACTGAGAGATGAGGAACTAACATTCCACATACAAATAAGCCAGATTTTTAATATGGGTGTGCATGCAAAACTAAAGTACTGAAACAAGAACAAAGTCTAGAAGTGGATAAACAATGAGAACTTTTGTGCCAGAGTTTACAGAAAGTGAATGATAAAAATAAAAAAGACATAACAATTGTAGACCAGAAGACTACAAGCTCCTGTATCTCTTCCCTGGGAGCTGAAAGGCAGAAGACCCACACAAAAAAATATAGACACTACATAAAACACTGAAGACTTTCCAGTGAGACTTTAGAATGATCTTTGGTGCTTGCCTGTGCAGAAGGTTGATCAGTCTCAAGCTCCCTGACAATAGGCACAGGATCACACTTTCTGTCTACACACTACACAGCTGCAACCAGTACCAAAGAACTTGTATAGGTGTATTGGCCCAAAGATAACAAGTCATTAAAAAAAAATTTAACAAAAACATATTTCTCTGTGCGACAGGATTTAAGCATTTTTTCTGCCCCCCCCCCCCCCCCCCCGTGAATCTTTCCCCTTGTTTAAGCTCACCCTAAATTATTCTCTTTGGAAAGCATGTGTCTGGATGCGGGCTAGGTGACCAGCACAGTAGATCTGACATTTCTTCAGTACTGTGTGAATGCTTGGCAGGTTTACCTTACTGAGAATGTGTTTGGAATCATGTCCTGATATCTGATTTTCATTCTGAGAATCACACTATAGTGATAACTGCTATGGTCACCTGCCCAGTATAGTCTCTGCCATCAAAGAAAGCAATGGTAAACTACCTTTTTCAAGATGCCAATAATAGCCAGGATTTCACAAATAGATCTGACAATTTGATAACAACTGGCAAGACATGGAAACAGCAAAGAAAAGGCAAAGAGATAAATACCTGGACAGTTTAGCCATGTTGATATGGGGGGTGGAGGGTGTTTTGTGTGTGTGTGTGTGTGTGTGTGTGCACGCACGTGTGTGTGAGAGAGAGAGAGAGAGAGAGATGAGAACATTGACCTGATCCATGACTCTGGTGATCACATGAGATGATAAAACACAACAGTCTATGTTATCAGCACAGCACAGAATGAAATGGAATAGCAGTCTGGGTTCAATCCTCCAAAAGTTACAAGAATTTTCCACCTAGTACAGCTCTGGGGTCAACTCAGCCTAATAAAAATAAATACCAGCTTTCCAGTATTTTCTGGGATTTATCTGCCAAGAAAAGACAATGAGGAAGGGAATGAGCCAACATACCTTCTATGCTGTGACCTAGAATGTGTCAAGGCCTAATACTCCATGGCATGTTCCAACTGCTCTTTAATAGCACCACCTATGTATAACTTTAAAAGAAATTACCTGTGTATCCGGGGCGGCAGTTACAATAGACTTCTTGTGTCCGAGGATCAAAACTGCAGGTATCTGCATGCTGCACAGGGCTTGTTGGTCCTCCAGGACACATGCAAGGTCTGCAGGGAATCTTGATACCAATCCTGGGATCTCCGTAGTAGCCTGCCTCGCATCTAGTGAGAATTTAGAAGAAAGTTGCATATTTAGTGATTAGTGATTAGAAATAATTATCATCAAAGCACTTCAGACAGATCCATAGGTGCTCTGATCTCCTCCTCAAAAGCTCCACAAGTGTTAAACCACTGATGACGCATGTTCTGTGTTGGTTAATGAAACGTCTTGTTCCCTAGTGAAATGTTCATTTCTTGCAGCTCCAGGCTGCACCCCCATGTCCATCAGTCTAGACAGGGATACAGAGTCGTATCCTTTGGCATGCTCCTCGGTACGGTTAGTGCAGCGCATGGCATTGATAACATCACTTCTGTCCATTACTGGGCCAGCCATAGCAACCGCAGTGTCAGCAAGATAGTCTGCACACTCGTTCTCTTGAACACTTGCATGTCCTGGCACAAAGATGAAGGTTAGGGCAGATATTCATGAAGTGCTTAGTGTTGTGATCCATTCTTGCCTGATAAATCCTGCTTGGATTTTTTTAAGCATATTCATCGAATTTACAGGGATGTCAGAAATCAATCAGGAACATAATATTTTGGTTAGTGAGTCAGAAGAAAAGTCTCTAAATATTAGTGGGTTTTTCTCTTTTCTTCCTTCTGTTGCCTCACTGAGGTGTTACGAGGAAATGTAAGGATCTTTTACGTGATCTTTCTAATGCATGGCATAAGCTGGTCTTTATTACAGGTGGTTTTAAACGGAGAACTGGCTTATAAAGACTCTGACACAGACATATAACCAGACTGTGACCGGTACCATCAGTATTGAAACTCTGCGCTGTCTGCTGAAGATGAGGACGGAGCATGCATGGGAATGCCCCGAGTGCTGTGATGTCAATTCTTGACTCAACTCAACATAAAGACTGATGTATATTTAAGAAATCTCAGCATCCGCACAATCTACGGCATATATAATAACAATTTGTAGTGCTATCTAAATAATTTAGAAAGTACAATATCCTCTCTGTAAGACTTCTGACTTTTTGGAATATATAAAGACAACTCTTTGAGACCATCAAAGATGGCAAGAGAGAAGAAGGAGAATGGGAAGAAACAATTAAATGCATAATCTATTTAAATCATTACTCATGACTGGCACCATAGACTGCCATGGCTGGAGCATATAAACAGATTGACATAAACAGACAGAAAGGGTGTACATGAAGGAGCTTTTGGGAGTAGACTAAAGCAGACCCAGAAGATGGCAGAGGGATCATATTCAGGCAGACACAACACTTGGAGTCAACAACTGAAAACAGAAGGCCAACTGCAGAGGTGAATGGATGCGGGTGATATCTACAGCAATGTACCTGAAGGGTTCGGGAGGCTGAAGAAGAATACATTTGTTAAATAATCTCCCTGTATGGCTTCTGTGGCCCTATTGTAGGAGATTAAAAATAAATAGACCCACAGTTCCCCCTAACAAGCATGTTGTAAAAATGGCGACTAATTAGGGATGTTTTCCTCAAAGATGGAGGATTTTTCAGGGTGAGGAACCAACAGTCTGCAAACAAATAAGCCAGATCCGTAAAATGGATGTGCATGCAAAACTAAAGTTTTGGACTAAAATCAAAGTGGATGAAGAACCAGAACTTTTCAACAGATTTTATAGCCGGTATATGTGAAAAAGAAATAACTAATTGCCTAAAATTATCAATGTGTTGTGAATGAACCTACAAGTAACTAATTAAACAAAGGTAAGATACTAACCTTTCACAGTAGTTGCCGGAAGTATAGTTCTCACAGTTGATGCAAGCCCCATTGAGTGGGTCACAGGTGGCAGCATTTTCATTGCACTGACAGGGACGACACTGGGGGAATCCCCAGTAGCTGACCCGGCACTGGTCACAAGCCCGGCCCGCTACATTCTGGATGCAGGTACACTCGCCCGTCTCCTCATTACAGAAGTTGTCTCGCGATCCAATATTATGGCAATTGCATGCTGAAATATCAACACAGCTATGTATCACATAATCTGCTTCTTGCTGATTACTCCATAAATTAAACCAAGGTATCAAGACAAGACCCGATTTCAAACCTGAAGAACTTTATATGTAATTTAAAAAAAAAAAAAAAGCTAGTGACTCAGCCTCTGGTCCAAAGGCTTTGGATTCAAATCTGCACAGCCTAACTGTTTTCAAAATAATTTAAACTCCCACACTAACCCAGCCTAAAATGGGTAACAGGTCAAGTCGTGGGAAGCAAATATGGCACGCCGGCATGATGTTTTCACATGAACAATTATATATATATATATATATATATATATATATATATATATATATATATATATATATATATATATATATATATATATATATATATATATGTATATAGATATATATTTATATATAAAATGCACCATTAGCCTGAAATTTAACTTCTGTGTCCCGTTATGATTAGTCTTCTTTCGTTTATTGTTGCTAGAATTCAAATCTGACACTTATAATATAATCAGCTTTGGTGGAAAGACTGTGTTGAACACTGCTGTTCTGTTTTTTTTTTTTTTTTTTTCCTTCAATGTCAATCTGTACAAATTTATTCTGCAATCCTGAAGATTCTGTCAAAATTATGGGCTTGCTTTATTGTATCCAAGATCAATTTCTCTGCCAGTCTTCTATTTGATGACATAACACTTGCCAAGAAATTGTAATGCTTTGGAATGTTAGGATAATATTAGTTTTTATTTCTTCTTTTGCAGTTACCATAACCTCTGTTTCCAGAGCTTTGATTTAAATGTTATTTAAAAAAAAACGTGCTGATCTGTGGGGAAAAAGACAGATATTTTTATTGACTATTTTAACTGATATTAGATACTTACGTAAGCAGCCAGCGGGGCCAAATCCATAGGTACCTGGTGCACACTGGTCACAACGACGCCCAACAACATTGGGCTTACACTCACACTGTCCACCACTTGGGTTACATTCTAAACTCAGTGAGCCAGTCCGATCACAATCACAATCTGGAAGAGAAAGATAGAGAAAATGGATAAAGCAGTTCTAACTGGGACACTGTTGGGGGACAATACTCTAAATGGCGACCATAGGGTATGTAATCTATTGTTTGTTTATGGCGACCGTAATGGATAAAATCCATTGTTTGTGTACGTTCATATAATAATGTTCTGTAATATTAGTAGGTAGTGGTACCCCACCAGAACATCACACAAGTGATAAACACCCGGTGACACAAAGTGCCACCATGGGGGTAAGGATCACCCGTGGAGAGGTTCTGAAACCCCATTCAGCCATTAGGCCATAATTATGGCCCGGCTATATTTAGTGCCCCCGGCAAAAACTGAGATGGGGCTTCAGAATAAATTTTTTTTTAAACTGCATCCCACAGGGGGATGATCTGTAATATTTAATATGGCAAACCAATGAACATATGATTTGCCTAGAAAAACCACAACATTAAAAAAAATGCTTGGGTTGGTTTTGCAATGTAGTGTAAAGGATATGCAACAGTCTTTTAAAATATTCAATATTGTCTGAGAAGCGAGGAACCAACAATTTGCATACAAATAATTTAGATCTGTAAAATAGATGTACACGCAAGACTTAGGTTCTGAAACAAGACTAAAGTCCAGAGGCAGACGAAAAAAACCATAACTTTCCACTGGAGTTTACAGTCGGTGAAGTCAAAGAAGTAGGTTCAGAGAAAATGATTTGCATGTCCTCCTCAGAGCATCATAAAGCAACCCCTGCATTTACTGGCTGCGCTGTAGCTTTACTAGGCAGTTTTGCCCTGAGTAGTTTGTCACTGCTTTCTGAATGGTACGGTGCTCCTACTGTGGTCAAAACAATCTTCATCTGACCTTGACCGGCAGTAGCTCGGGACTAGTCAACTGCATTCACGACAGTGATCAACATTTGGTACAGGTATTGATTTCATTTTGATTTCTATAAATGTTCGGTTTCTGTGAAAGCATGATATTGATATGACCAACAACTGAAATGACGATTGCTTTAAACACAGGGGTCTGGCATCATACATCCAATATGTCTTTTAGTGTGAAAAGAGGTTTTTAACTTACTGATTTTACTTAATAAAGGCAGACCTAGTTTACTGGATGAAATCAGACTTAGATTACTGTTTGAAAGCAGACTTGGTTTACTTAAAAAAAAATCCTTTACTTTATTATATATAAAGCAGAGTTAGTTTACTGTATACACAGTAGACTTAGTTTACTCGATGAAAGCAGATTTAGTTTACTGTATGAAAGCAGACTTGGTTTAGTGTATGAAAGCTGACTTAATTTACTGTGTAAAGCAGATTTAGTTTGCTGTATGAAAGCAGACTTTGCTTAGTGTATGAAAGCCAACCTAATTTACTGTGCAAAGCAGATTTAGTTTGCTGTATGAAAGCAGACTTTGCTTAGTGTATGAAAGCCAACCTAATTTACTGTGTAAAGCAGATTTAGTTTTGCTGTATGAAAGCAGACTTTGCTTAGTGTATGAAAGCCGATCTAATTTACTGTGTAAAGCAGATTTAGTTTGCTGTAATGCAAGCAGACTTAGTTTAATGTGTGTAAAGCAGACTTAGTTTACTGTACAAAAAGCAGATTTAGTTCACTGTATGAAAGTAGATTTAGTTTACTTGATTAAAGAAGACATCATTTACTTATGAAAACAGGTTTAGTTAAGTTTACTATTCACACAAAAGACTTTGCCCACTGTATGAAATCAGACTTAAGTTTACTTCATGAAATCTGACACTATCAAACAGAACAATGTGAAAACCCACCGATGGCTCCATTGTGCAAGACTGCAGAAATGGAGAAGGTGTGTCGCTGACACTGTTCTGGCAACTGAGACTTCAGGGACGGGTACTGCAGAACATCACAGCGGTTGTACAGGAACTCATTCTTCATATACTCAGGCAGACCTGGCCCTTGATAAATCGGAATGTAGTCTGAGTTTGGCACCAGCAAAATCTGACGGAAGAATGTGTTCATTCAATATGAGACTGACATCACACAATTAGAAAAAAAAAAAAAAAACATAATGTGTATATTGTCTTCTTATGCCTTTTATCTCCCCCCCCCCCCCCCCCCCCCACCCCCCCCCCCCCCCCCTCTCCCCAGTAGAACACAGGTCCTCAACCAACTCATGCTAAGCCGTCTTATCTTTTGTTATCGCACTCAGCTTGCCTCATGTCCTCATATTGTTTAAAAAAAACTAAACTCACTATTTCTCTTTCCCACGTAATTTTTGGTTTCTGCCTTAATTCCATTGTCACTGTGTGATTTTAACAAGGAGCACTAGTTTCTAAAGATACCATTGGTCTATGAGGTAGTGAGATCCAGATAAAGAGAGTGAAAACAGTGGTCCTCTGTGCAAGTGGGACACACCAATACTCTCACCCCGGGAACACTAACAAAATGAGTCATGACCCCACTGGAAATGTCAACAACAAAATAATCATAATTTTACACAGCTCCCTAATAATTTTGTTTAAAAAAAACTATCTGTCTACCTATTTTAAAAACAAAGAAAGAAGAGAATAAGTAAATCAATAAAAAAGTTACCAAAACTGGCAAAACGATGATTACCATTGTACTAGAACAGGACACAGTCGACTTCGCAGCCACATGTACACGCATTTCAGATTAGCGAATCACCATGTGTACATGTGGATTGGCACCTGAGACAACAGATCACGTCTTCCAAGATTTTCCCAAATACTACATATCAAGGCAAAACTTTTGGCCTAGAGAAACATCGGTGCAAGCCAAACTTCACGGGTCACTGATTGAATTACAACAGAGAGTGAAGTTCACACTAGAGACAACAGTGCAAATACAGATAATATATTTCAAGCGAATGAAATAGGAAGAAGATATATGCACAGAAATATGAAGGGAGAAATCAATAAATCTGAAAACAGTGAAGCACTTCAGTGGAATATATTCCCTAGGGCCTAAAAAATCCCAAAACAGTATTGGGGACTCATCCCGTGACCTCTATCACTAAGGCTTACAGGACAAATTTGACATCAACTTGGCTTTTAAAAAAAACTTAATTAAATGAATTTATTTAAACTGACCAAAATAAACAAGCTATTTGGTTAAAAGTAAAATCCCCTAAATGTTATATTTTGATAAAGTATTAATATCCTGATCTCCTAAATGTTTACGCAGCCGCAAAACAGTCAGTAGCATTGACTATGCACTTTGCAACCAGGTCAGCATAGAGAAATTGCAAAAGTTTTATTAGCAGCGACAGGGTTAAGAGTACCAGTTGCAAATCACAGAGGACCTAGTAAAATATATATGAAAACCTTCCCATAGGTTGACAGAATTAATTTTCTTTGATATAATCCTCTCTCTCTCTCTCTCTCTCTGTGGGTTCTGGATCTGAATTTGGAGAGGGGGAGGGGGGGTTTACACCAGCTGACAATTGAAAATGCAATTATTTGGGCATTTTCCCACTACAGTTTGAATGTGTCTGTTTGAGAAGCGAGAAACAAACAGTCGGCATGGGGGAAAAAGCCAGATTTGTAAAACAGATGCAAAAACAAAAACTAAAGTCCTGGAAGATGACTTCTTCTTTTACGCCCTCTTTTGCCACTTTAAGTGTCGAGGATATAAGGTCCTGCTTCCTGCATTTCAGGCTGCTTCGACCAAAGACACATCGTAGTACCGTAGAGTTTTTCTGATGTCATCTTTTCATCTTGTTCTTGGTCTATCTCTTGCTCTACGCCCCTCTGCTCTTTTGGTATATGCCTTGAATGGTATAGCATCAGAAGGCGTTCTCTCCAAGTGGGCAAAACCATTTTATTTGCTGTCTTTCAATGTAATTTAGAAATGGTTCTGTGCCGAATTTATCTCGTCTGACTAAAGTCCTGAAATGGACAAACAACAACAATAACTGTATGCTAAAGTTTACAGCTACTTAATGCAAAGAAGAAGAATCTTCTCTGGAAGAATAAACAAACCTTACAGAATCCAGAATGAAGTTAGATACATTGATCAGTGAGATGTGTTGGTATAATGCATTTTTTTTTTTTGTTTAAAGAAAACCAAAGAAGAAGATATAAGATAGAGACAAATGCCATACTTTTCTGATTTAATTTAACCAGCTTTTATTTTTGTTGTTTACAAGTTTACTCTAAGGGCCATGAATGATTCACTCTCCTTACAGTCTCTGAGATAACCAGATCCGTCTGCGTGAAGAAAAATTAAGATTACAGAAAAGCAAATGCTAATAACACCATCAAGGAAACCTACGGAGTCTATGAGAAGTGTAGCTTCTGGAGTCCTCTGGCCAGGTTGATATGAATTGAAGGTCAAAAGCACCTTGTACGTTGTGCCTGTCTCCAGGCAGGAAGGTGGTGAAACAACCTCGTACCGAGCACCTGATGTGTAACAGAAACAAATATAAACTATTTCACAGGCACTCAACATGAATGACAAAAGCAAAATATTACTGTAACTGTTCACTAGAATATTTAACTTATAAAAATCTGTAACGGCAAATCTGGAATATACATTTAAAATATTTAGCTATAAAGTCAAATCAGTACCATTGTATGGGGCGTGTGTGTGAAAACATGGAAACTTGTTAATAACCAGCAGTTGCCCAACTAAAAATAATGATCAATTAAATTTGTTTTCTGCTAATTACACGTCTTTATTCATTAACAAAAGGTGCCTGCGCAGACTAGAGGATCAATAGTAGGATAGAAACACTAATTGGGGAGGGGGGGGGGCGGCAGCTTTGGGAGAGAACTAAACACAATCCAGGGAATAGAGAGGTGAAGAAAAGTTGCTGACATTGGATAGGGAACATGCTGAGAAAACCTGACAGCAATATTATTAGAATGTTTTTACACTGGAACCCACTCAGGCACATAAATAAAGGTAGGTCAAAAAACACCTGGAGAGGATAGCTAGAAAATGAAGCTGTAAGATGGAAGACATAGAATGTGCTGCATGCAATAGCAAAGAATAGGACTACTCGGTATAAGTTGGTTGAGGGCCTATACTCCACTGGGGAATATGAAGAGAAAAAGATACTGGAATATGAAATACTGTTGTGCCTTATACATCACAGAGGCCTTCTAGTCATTTCTTCCATCCCTTTCTATCCTGGGAAATTCTTCTGATACGATGGATGGAGTCTCACTGGGATGTCAGTAATTCTTTTCTTCTTGGTCCGTGGTAATCTGAAAATCCCTCCTTAGCATTTCAGCTCAAAAGCCCTTATTCTTTACCTTTTAGTACCAAACAATATTATTAAAACAATGTATTAAAGAATCAGCTCAAGTAATTTAACTGCAGATTACAAGCGGTACCATTATACTGGAACTCTGCGATGGCTGCTGAAGATGAGGATGGAGCATGCATGGGAATGCCCAAAGTGCTGTGATGTCAATTCTTGACTCAACTTAACTCAATTCAAGTAATTTAACTTGAGTCTAGTGACAAACTTACCTGGTTGCAATGAGACCGACTTCAGATCATCGCGGGGACTGAATTCACCACAAAGACCTTCTGGATCAACATGGCCTGGTCTAATCACAGAAACTTCCACATCATGGAAGACTTCTGGCATCTGGATTAGGAACACACAAATGCATATCTAATAATTTCAGAGGTGAATGTGTTATTCTTGACTTTCATAGGTACATGTGTATTAACCCTGCCGCCCCTGAAAAGACTAAATCTAGTCACCACCTGTCTTGTCCAAAGTGATCCGTTCTCAAAAATCATAGAACAAGTCCATGCACCTGCATGGTGTGTAATAAGCTATGATATGAATACAGTAACTGAAAATATCATGGCAGGAGGGGGGGGGGGGGGGGGAGTCCCTTTTTATCTTCTTCACATTCACTGGCTGTAAACTTTGGCAGAGTTTTTTCACTATTCGACCACTTCTTCTTGTTGCACAGAATCTGAGTTTTGTGTGCACATACATTTTACAGATATAGCTCATCTGCAAGCAGACTATTGGTTCCTAAATTCTCAGGCAGATGCATTTCCACTTCAAAAGAAATAACCCTAAAAAGTTGACTTTTACGACATGCTTGTTAGGTGGGGGAGAGGGTCAATTTCCTTTTCCCCAAAAATGCAGCCCTTGAACCCACATGTAAAAAAAAAAGTTTCCTTAGGATTCCAAGGGTTTTTTTTCTAAACCAGGTTTATGTCAAATTTTTCCCATAAGCCTCAGTGACAGAGGTCATGGATTGAGTCACCCAACACATTTTGTTTCTAAACAACCGGAGGGTATTTTCCTTGTAATGCTTCACTGTGCTCTTTTTTTTTTTTACACTACCCTTTTAATTACTTTAAATTTTAAAAAAAATTCAAAAATGTACATAGATACATTAAAAAAAAACATTTATTAGTGACTTGTTTCATATGGCTGTATTTAAAAAAAAAAATATTTTTCACCTTGAAATTCCTACGAGTTCACAGCCATTTTTTTAAAGTCTTCATGGGGGCGAAAGGATTAACATGTACAAATACTAATAGAAAACTGACTGTAACTTATGAACAAGCATGGATTAGTCTAATAAATCAAGTGCCTTCTCTCCAGTAAAGGTAGGCTATAACAGATCTTAAACCTTGATGTTTATTATTTATCTTTTCTTGTGATGCTTCCACTGGTGTCTTTAGGAGAAACAGTTAGGCTTCCTTAATGTGTCTCATGTGTGTTACATAAGTGAAGCAATCAATCAATCAATCGGGTGCCACAATGAATGCTGGTTGCAATGAATCTCCAACACACCTTGTCTTTTGTCCTGGCTGTACACTCTCTCAGACTGCTGTTTGTCTATCTCTTCACACAGTCTTCCCACAGTAAGTAAAATATACTTTTTATGTTAGTGGCAATTTCAGGTAGATGATTAAAGACAGCTTGTGTACACCAGTCAACACTCGAGATGTGATGAGTCAACACCAGGTCAGCCACTTTCACTTACCAGGACTTTACATGATACCCATTTTAGGCTGGGTCAACCTGGGAGACAAGGTCTTTTCTTGAGTTCAAACACAAGACCTACAAACACGCAGGCAAGCATCCAGTCACTATACCACTGCAGCTCTCCCATTATTAAACAGGATTTTTTAACTCCCCATTCACCACTTTTAAACTTTAAATCACTTCCCTGTTCAACCTTTTCATCTGAGATTAGAGATAAGCTATTCTGCTTCTTCTTTGCTCGCATTCACTGGCTGTAAACTCCGGTAGAAAGTTTTGGGTGTTCATAACCCTCAGGAGTTTAGTCTTGTTCCAGAACCTGAGTGTTGTGTGCAGACTTGGATGTACTCCGAGTTCAAAGGATGCCCCCACTTATAAAACTCATACAACATGCTTGTTGGGGAGGCAGTGGGTCTATTCTTGTTTTCCCCACAATGAAATTCCAAACCCACCCTGGGAGGATATATTCTACTTTAGTATAATTTGTGATGATTAGATATGTTAACATATTTTTTAATAATTGACCGTTATTTGCACAAGTTCACTTAGTGGCTCTTTGCACAGATCTACTATTTCACTCTTTCACTCTTTGCACTGATCCATTTACTAATTATTTATTAATATATGCAACTTTAACAGAATATGTCTGGTAGGAAAAAGGATGGCTGCATTGTGACAAAAACATAATGGGATTAAAAGGCCAGACAGCACAAAGTAAAACAACCAAATAATTGTACTATTGGGGAATTAAAAGCTGGACACACAATATAAAACATGGCAAGTCCTGTTAGACAATCACAGTGACACAAATCAAATCAAGTGAGACAATACTTCTAAAAAAAATTTGTTAGCATCTCTGACTTCCTATGTACCCCGTTCAATTCGGCCGCAGGTAATTTGGTAGTAGACCACCTTTTTATGTTGATTATGAAAATGGTATAAAGTGCCAACAACAAGATTTCAACAAATTATCGGGTTCATTCTGCAATGTCCTGTAAAGGATATGCAACTAACTTATTATGTTTTAAATGAGATTCTACTCTGCATGGGTTTTGGAGCCCCATTGCAGGGAGAAAAAAGAAAAGATGCACCCCCCCCCCCCCCCCCCCCTTTCAATGTCAGACTGCATCTGCCTACGAGGCGAGGAAACATCAGTCTGCATACAAATAAGTCAGATGTGTAAAATGTTCTGGAACAAGACTAAAGTCCAGTAGTAGATGAACAACCACGTCTTTCAGTCAGAGTTTACACTGTGAACATGAAGAGAAGAAGAAGAAGAAGAAGAAGAAGAAGAGGAAGAAGAAGAAGAAGAAGAAGAAGAAGAAGAAGAAAAAGAGATAAAAGATGACGAAGAAGAAGAAGAGAAAGAAGAAGAATAAGAGATAGAAGAAGAAGAAGAAGAAGAAGAAGAAGAAGAAGAAGAAGAAGAAGAAGAAGAAGAAGAAATGGACAGTGACAGCGTCACTTCTCTGATGGCTCAAAGGTCTTGGTTTAAATCAGGACAGATCTTTAGAATAGACCTATGGCTGCCAGATCAACCTAACCTGAAACAGGTACCTGGAAATGTTATGGGAAGTAAAGGTGACTGGTATGCTCTGATGTATTTACCCACTGAGTGCCAAATGGTCTACAACAGTGTTTCCCAAACTTTTCAATTAAAAATGTTTCCACAGCATCCTAACCTAAGTCAAAGTATGACTATGCGTATATAAGATTTTAAAAACTTGTAGGGAAAAAAACTTGTGTATCTTCAAATATGACACTGTGCCCCTCTGAAGAGGTTGCAGCTCTCCAGGGCGCAGTTTGGGAATCACTGGTCTACACAAATATGAATTAAGCACTTGATGCCCAATGCAGCAGTAATGATGTGAGAGTGGTCTTTGACTTTTATTCACTTATTAACTGGGTGAAAAACTGAGAGTAAAAGGATAAAATTGAAGATGAAAATATTTTGTGTGTGCAAAGTACAGGAACCTGTTTTACGCCTTCAGGTGTACATATAGTGCTAAAAATACACCAATCCCCGTGGGTGATGTGGCCAGCATCACGATAGCTGCCTTTACCTTCAAGAACTTTACCTACTGCCCACTCAATTCTAAGTTGACCTGGGAGCCAAAGTCATTTTTCAAGAAAGTCAAGTCTACATTCAGATTTGAATTCGCGAAACCATGGCAGCTCTCAGAAGAGAGTAATAATTTTTTTTTAAACTAAAACTTTAGGATAAAATCCGGGTATAAAAACTGGTCCTTATACATGCATTAGAAAAGAAAGAAAAAAAAAGAAAATACTCAAAAAACCTTTTTAGTGCAATCTGTGAAAAAAAATGTAGGTTTTTTTTTCAAATGGTATACTGTGCAAAATGAATGCTAGTAATGTGTCCAAATGCTGAAATATTTAAATAACTGATTGACTGGGTATGCTGGCCAACTTACTGAACTGAAATACAAGAGAAATTATTAAACAACCCAACACATCAGCAAATCTCACCTGAGTAACACTGCTGCATGTAAAATAACAAAACAAAATCAGTGTTTATAAATGTTATAAATGTACATCTAGACAGTTTGATATACACAGAGACACACACATGAAACATTTCTATTCTTCTGACCGTTATCCTACAAGGAAACAAAAGGCCCCCTAGGAAGTCACATGGAAAGCATTTCAATAACTTGCTATAACTTCTAGCTCCTTTAATGTATTATTTATCTATGCGTTAATTTCCTTCTCCATGATTTTTAGAATTTCACATTATTTTTTCTTCTGCAGAATCAGAAAATGGTGAATGATGTGAATGATCTGTTGTGGTGATGCTTTATGTAATGTGGCTAAGTGTGCAATTGCTGATCTGTTGTAAGTACTACTCCCCTCGATGATGAACTGCGTATCAAGTGCTGGAATGTTGGTGCTGGCACCTCTGGTGACTACGTTATGTATTTCACTGCACATGTAAACTATTGGCTTTGCTGAGACTGCAGTCTGTGTCCATTTGTTCACTTTTGTGTGTGTGTGGTATGCATTCAGTGTGGCACAGGAATGGAGCAACTATCATCATTATCATCAGGTGCCTTGCCGACTGGCGTAGGCAATCATGTCTCTCTACAATCTGCTATCTCCTGCAGCATGTATTAGTTCATGTACTGAGACACCTCCATGCCATGCAGCAAGACTGTCAAAAATCTTCTCTCACTGTCTTTCTCTATCCCTCCTTCCACAGATCTTTTCAGTGGTCACAACATGTTCCATTTTCCCTCTTCTCATAACATGGCCAAAAAATGATGACTGTCTCCTTCTAATGTCTTCGATTAGTTGTCTTCGGGCTCCCGCCTCTTTCAAAACCTCTTGGTTGCTATTTTTGGCTGTCCAAGGTATTATAAGCATTCTTCTGTAAAAACCACATCTCTGGGGCCTCAATAAATTGTTTGGCCTGCCTACCAATTGTCAAGGATTCACAGCCATTTGTTAAAACTGGATATATGTGGAAGATACTATGGGTGACCTATATGCTATGATACTGGAACTGTGTTTAACTGATTATTTTCCTTGATGACTCCCGAACAGTATAGTGAAGTTATGCTATTAACTGAACAGACGAGCTTCTGCAACAACAAGCATGTTGTATAGGATGACTAAATAAGGTTTGCTGAAATCAGATGTGTTATACTAAAAGGCACAGATACTACAGCCTGGCTGTAAACTACAACATAATGTGCCAACTACCCTTTTAAGAATGAACGCAGAAGAAGAAGAACCAGTCTTGATAAGCATACGAGCTAATGATTATACTCCTAGAATCAGTTAACTCTTTCAGTGCCACACAGTTATTTCCAACCCCTCCATCCCAAACGGCTGAGCTTAACAGCAAATAAATACTTAGATGTGAGGGACCGGACGGAGACAATGTGGGATATAAGAAGTAAAACTAATAAATCAGATATGACGCCTTCACGGCATGACAATAGTGTGTCAGCCATCGTGCACTGGATCACAAATTATTTCTCCCCACGACACTTAACGGCAGAAGTGGTTTATGATGATGATGATGAGTTAGCATAACGTCTAACTGTAATAGAAGATAGCAAGGGTGTCGAGTGTTGAGCTATAAACTGACATCTCAGCACTAGGGGCATTCCCATAAGTACTCTGCTCTCATCAGCAGCAGCAGCAGCAAGCGAAGAGCTCCAATTCTGATGGTGGCAGTACTGGTGTGGTTATTCGTCTGTCTTGTTTTTCCTCAGAGTGTAGTGTCAACCAGATCTCCTGGCCACTCCTAGCTGTACCCTTGTCTCCTGACAATAAGGATCTATTTGTGCCTCCGCTTCACTTGCTCCAAATAACCTTGACCACATCTAGCTTGACATGCATAAATCCATGACCTACTGGTGCAGAACCAGCCAATCTGTCTGCCTGTTCACTTCCTAGCACTGCTGCATGCCTTGGAAATCATACTATCTTTGGAATGACCAAGAAACATTTGGTATGTTTGTTACAGAAAGAGTTAATCAGCCACAAAAAACATTTATCATAGCAAGACTGCAGCAGCTGAAAACAAGCACTGGTGAGATGTGATAGGTTTGTGGAGGGGAAAAACATATTTCTAAGATGCGATTTAAAAAAATACTTACAAAAAAAAAAAAAATAATACAAACTGCAGGTGTGCCCTCACATCAATGAAATGTGGGGGCAGGGGAACTCTCAGAATTATCGTATTTTTTTTTTTTTTTTACAACTTCAAAGTATGTATTTTTATAAAGTGGTTAAAAAAAAATTCTGAAAAAAGACAAAACATCACATGTTTATTAAAATGTAATATCAGCAACACATTAGGAAAATGTTTGCTAAGATAATAAAATAAAAAGTTTATGTTGTTCCTCCATCACAAGTGATGAAGGCCACTTTCATCCAAAGTAGTAATGATCAATGAATGATTTTGAATATGAAGGTGGCTGATTAGTCCAATATGAGCCAGGAAAGTTTTTGAGCTGTGTGGACAACAGATGGAGGAGGCAGTAAGTGTGGGATTAGCAGCACGATTCTTTCTAGTCTGGCTCCATTTCTCTGCCTGTGCAACCTTCGCTGGCTGGCAGGTCGATTCACCATGCCTGAGGGACGTATGCCATCCAAAATGGTCTTGTGCAGCAGCCTCCCACATCGCTGTGTTGATTTTGAGCAGCTTTCTGAGACAGGTTATATGAAACTGTTTTAACTTTTTAGCATGACGCTAATACACAGTCCATGTTTCACAAGCGTAGAGCAGTACTGGAAGAATTACAGCTTTGTTAACCTTTAGCTTGGTCAGCAGGGAGATACCACTTCTGTTCCAGACACTGGTATAAAGTCTGCCAAAACTGCTGCTAGCCTTTGAGATTCTAGCATTGATCTCATCGTCGATACTGACTCTCTGAGAAAGGGTACTGCCAAGATAAGTGACTCTGTCGACTGCATTTAGCTTTTGATTATTTACGGTGATAGTGTGATCACAGTAATTTTTTCTGGGAGTCGGTTGATAGATAAAAACAGTTTTATTAGTGTTGGTAGTTAGCCCGAAGTTGGTACAGGTTTAAGAAAATCTATTGATGATGTGCTGCATACTGGCCTCAGAAGTGGAGTTTAGAGTGCGGTCATCAGCAAATAAAAGGTCTCTAGTGTGTATGTTATAGTTTTTGCTCGGTCTCCTCAGATTAAACAAGCTGCCATCTGTAAGGTAATTTAAAGCACTTCCTGGATCGTCATCATCAAAGGCATTAAAAATATTTATAGGTAATAGAAATTTAATCTACACTCTTAAGCAGCTTACAGGAAGCTGCACAAATGTAATCTACACTCTCAAGCAGCTTACAGGAAGCTTCACAAATGTAATCTACACTCTTAAGCAGCTAACAGGAAGCTGCACACATGTAATCTACACACTTAAGCAGCTTACAGGAAGCTGCACAAATGTAATCTACACTCTTAAGCAGCTTACAGGAAGCTGCACAAATGTAATCTACACTCTCAAGCAGCTTACAGGAAGCTTCACAAATGTAATCTACACTCTTAAGCAGCTAACAGGAAGCTGCACACATGTAATCTACACACTTAAGCAGCTTACAGGAAGCTGCACAAATGTAATCTACACTCTTAAGCAGCTTACAGGAAGCTGCACAAATGTAATCTACACTCTTAAGCAGCTAACAGGAAGCTGCACAAATGTAATGTACACTCTTAAGCAGCTTACAGGAAGCTTCACAAATGTAATCTACACTCTTAAGCAGCTAACAGGAAGCTGCACACATGTAATCTACATACTTAAGCAGCTTACAGGAAGCTGCACAAATGTAATCTACACTCTTAAGCAGCTTACAGAAAGCTTCACAAATGTAATCTACACTCTTAAGCAGCTAACAGGAAGCTGCACAAATGTAATCTACATACTTAAGCAGCTTACAGGAAGTTGCACAAATGTAATCTACACTCTTAAGCAGCTTACAGGAAGCTTCACAAATGTAATCTACACTCTTAAGCAGCTAACAGGAAGCTGCACACATGTAATCTACATACTTAAGCAGCTTACAGGAAGCTGCACAAATGTAATCTACACTCTTAAGCAGCTAACAGGAAGCTGCACAAATGTAATCCAACTCTTAAGCAGCTTACAGGAAGCTGCACAAATGTAATCTACACTCTTAAGCAGCTTACAGAAATGAACATTGAATATAATAAGCGAATTTATCTAAGGCTTTTGCAGACTTCAGCAACATGCTTTGGGGGATGTTGGGGGGGTAGGGGGGGGGGGGAGTGGAGTTGGGTCTTTTCCAACCCCCAAAAAAGAGGTCCTAGTAACCTACACGAGAAAGTTCCATCCCTTTTTCACTTAAGTGATGCTTTGGGATTCTTTGAACATTTCTTCTCAGGTTATTAAAAAAAAGTAAAGATCCCTTCTCACTCCTTTAGGCGCATCCGGTATATGGGAAGAGCACCCATATTTTTTCAGACCATCGGCACTAGGTGGGTAATGTGGTCATCATTACGCCGGCCGTCTTTACTTCCCCAGGACAGCCATCCTGGTACCAATTTCAGGCTAGGTCAACCTGCGACGCCCTATACCACGATAAAAATCCACGCAGCCAGCAACGGTACATTGTAATTATGAATTGGATTTGCAATGCCTACGCCACAGACGCCGCTCTCAGGATATGCCAAACCCAATATATAGCCACCTTCTTTCTTCTATAACTGTTGATGCAAACAGTATTTATTTTTTCACACACTCAAATACATACATTCTGGAAAACACTACATTGCATGCTAATCCCAATATTCGGTTAATAAGGTTTTATTTTCTGATATTTTCTGCAAAAATGTGACTGGTATGTTTAGGTGTGTTCTGCATGTTGTGAATTATTGTTAATATCTGTAAAGGATCCTTTTCTCCACTTTCAGGCACAGTGGCTCAGTCTCTCTCCGCAGAACTGCTAGTTGCCTGCGGAGCACGTCACACACAGCACAATCTCTGTAGCTTCGGTGACAATCCCCAGGCATACTGGGATGTACAATGCTAGACCTATATTTTACAGACCAATCCTAACTCAGTTGGTGATGTGGTCAACATCACGCTGGCCGCTTTTACTTCACAGGATGTTGCCTGATACCCTTTGAGGTTGATCCAACCTGGAAGCCATGGTCATTTTTTTTTAAATGACTCAACATCTGTATGTGTATATATAATACTAGCGGCTGAATAAATGCATTTGTGTGTGTGTGTGTGTGTATTACCTTACACATATATGTATAAACTCACCCCAATGCCTCGTCCATACTCTGCCTCATATATGTGGTTATCCAAATGTGCAAAAAAGAAGCCAGGATCAACCTATGTATGAAATAATAACTTCAGTCAATACAAATTTATGTATTTAAAGATAAATAAATCAACAACCAGGTTCTTCTAAAATAAAAAAAAATCATATGGTCTAGTTCAGTGCATTTTACTTGCTGCATATAAAATTAAAAAGGCTGAACTGCAGTAAAGTTGTTGGGAGGGGGCCAAAGAAAAAAGAAACAGGAGGGTGTCCAAGGAATAAAGAAACAAACACAGATAGGATCACTTTTACAAGAAAATGGATTCTGGCATTGAAAGTCAAAAGTGACAACAACAACAACAAACGTAGTTCCATAGCTTCACTGTTGTGGTCACACACAAACCTTGCCAATTCTAAGTAGTGAACATAGAGCACTGTCTCAACTACAAAGCAAAGACAAGATAGTGCTTATCTATTCCCCTGCTTATCTGACCCACAGCCTTCCCAAAACATGTCAACAACTAATTGGGTGTTTCCTTCAAAGGTGCAGAGCATCTGCCTTAGAGGCAAGAAACCAACAGTCTTCAAACAAATGAGTCAGATCTGTGAAACGGATGTACATGTAACACTCAGGCTTGGGAACAGCACTAGAGTACAGAAGTGAACGAACAATCAGAATTTTCAGCCAGAGTTTAAGTCTGGTGAACAAGATGAAGAAGAAGTACGCAGCTGTGGACAAAAGAAATTATACACCTTGCTTCTCTTGAGCTCGTACAATTTTTTTTTTTTTTTTTTTCAGCTTGGTGTCCCATTTCTGATTTTTTTTGTCTTTTCTTTTTAGTGTAGTTGCATTAGTGTCCTTTCAATATTATTTGCTGATGAAAGCTTTCCAGCTTCAACATTCATTCTGACACTTGTGACTGTCTTCTTGAAAAGCTGAAAAACTTGACAAGGTTGTTGATTTCAGGTGTCCACTGTGAAGCAGTACAGGGGCTTGTGTAATACAGTTACCACCAAGAGCTATGCTGTTGTTAGCGCAGCTACCGGATACAGCAAGGGGAAACCAAAGAATAACACAAAACTGTGGGAGAGCTTCTGGTACCGCAAGAGTTAAGTAAAATGAATTGTAACAAATAAAAAGAAGTCATCTTCTATGCCGACATACCTCTTTGCAATGCCTGCCACGGATGTGTGGTCGACACTGGCACTGGCCACTTATCTCATCGCACGTTGAGCTGATAGATCCACCCAGGTCACAGTCACAGGGGCTGCAGCCATGTCGATTATCTGCACTCAGTCCATAAAATCCAGGCTGCAAGAATATCCAATTTGACAATTATACACTTGTATTTATATCAAGAATATCCAATTTGACAATTATCCACTTGTATTTATATACGTATTACCTCTCTGGGTACTGGAGACCCTGTGAGGAAGGTGGGGTGGAGATTTTGTCAGCATGTCACAAAAGTCAACTAATTAGAGGTGTAACCTTTAAAGTCAGAGTGCATCTATCTGAGAGGAAAGGAACCAACAGTCTGCATTCAAATAAGCCAGATCTGTAAAACAGATATGCACATGAAACTCAAGTTCTAAAACAAGACCAAAGTTTAGAAGCAGAGGAACAACCAGAACTTTCATCTGGAGTCTTCAGCCTGTGAACGCTAAGAAGAAAAATATATTTATTTATGCCTAAAGTGTCCATAATGTCCTATGTCTATCTTTGTTCTAGTTGACCTTTGCCTCTTCTTCTAGGAACTATAACTCTAGAATACTGTTCTTAAAAAAAATAAAAATAATTTAAAGGTATCAAGGCATTTAATGTCGACAGTGATGCTTACTTTTTATTGCGCTTACCGCAAGAAATTGCATAATAAAATTATTGTTCTACTTTAACAAAGCCGTATACCTTATCCACCAATACTTACTGATTACTGTGGTACTTCATTTTATCTGCTAATGACAGGTAATTCAATATATCTACTAGCAACTGTGGTGCATCATTTTATCTACTGATCACTGCAGCACTTCATTATATCTGGTAATCTACTGATGATAGTGGTGCTTCATATCTACTGAGGACAGGGGTATTTCATCATATCGACAAAAGATTGTGGTACTTCATAATATTTACTGATAATTGTGACTCTTTCATTACATCTTCTAATGGATATGGTACTTCACTATAACTACCGATGATTACATTAGTGATGAATGTCCTACTACTGTGTCTAGTGATGACTGTGATAATTCATTAACCACACCTACTGATACTTGTTACGCCTTTTTTTTTAAAGATTCTTAGTAATGATTGTACTTGCGATTGTACTATACCTATTGATGACTCTAGTACTTACATAGCACTTATCACAGTTCATGCCTGTGACATATCTTTTACATATACAAAGGCCTGTTTCCATGTCACACCCAACATCTGGAACTGTACCACCAGCATTGCAACTGCAAGCTACAAAAAATTAAGAAAACACGATTAAGATGAAGAGGGTTGTACCAGCAAGCTATAAAGTAAGAAACTGATAAGAATGAAGAGTGTTGTAACAACAAGCTATAAAGTAAGAAGTTATGATTAGAATAAAGAGTGTTGTAACTATAAAACTATAGAGTAAGAAATTATAATTAGATGATGAGTGTTGCAGCCTCAAGCTATAAAGTAAGAAGTCATAATTAGAATAAAGTGTGTTACAACTGCAAGGTAGAAAATAAGAAGTTATGATTAGAATGAAGGGTATTACAGCTGCAAGCTGCAAAATATCAAAATATGAAAGAAATTATGATAATAATAAAGGATTTTGCAACTATAAGCTGCAAGCTGCAAAATATCAAAATATGAAAGAAATTATGATAATGATAAAGGATTTTGCAACTATAATCTGCAAGCAAGAGAATATTATTAGCATTGAGAGATGCTGCAAACTGCAAGCTTTAAAGTAACAAAGTGTGATTAGAATGACAGATATTGCAATGTGAGAAATTATTATTATAATGAAGGGCACTGCAATTGTAAGCTGTAAAGTATGAAATTGTGATTAGAATACAAGGTAGGAAATTATTATTAAAGCGAAGAACAGTGCGACTGCAAGCTGCAAAGTAAGAATCGTGGCGGCTTCGAGTTTACAACTGATTGCACAATTTAATGCCTGGTATATTTCACTGTATCTCATCTAGATTCATTACCGATGTCCTGAACTTTGTGAACAGAAATACATGGTTTTGCCATAGCAGTTGCTCTGGTAAAACATGTTGTCGCTGTTGAGTGTGGTTGTATTTTTGTGCTTCAGTTTTAAAGGATTCACTTTTTTGCTTCATTTGTTTAAATGTTAGTATAGTGTATGCACCTGACGAGATACAGCAATATATGCCAGGCAATAAATTGTGCAATCTACTGTTCGTGTGAAGAAATCACAAGAAATCAGCAATGAACAATGTGGATTTATAGAAGGAAAAGGTACAAACAATGCCATATACATCCTAAGGACATTGTCAGAAAGAGCTATAGAAGTAAAGACTGATTTGTACTTATGCTTTATAGACTATACAAAAGCATTTGACTGTGTGAAGCATGAAGAAGTAATCAAACTGTCAGAAAAATTAAACATTGATGGGAAAAGATCTACGAATAATAAAGAATATGTATTGACAGCAAACAGCAGCTATAAGAATTAACAACTGTTTAAGCACATTTCAAAGCATAAAGAGAGGCGTACGACAAGGACGTGTACTGTCACCTGATTTGTTTTCACTATACAGTGAATATATAATGAGAGCTTTAATTGACATGCCTGGAATTGTGGTTGGCGGGCACAATATAAACAATTTACGTTATGCTGATGACACAGTCTTGATAACAAAAAGTCAAAGAACTACAGGAAATGTTAGACATTGTGGTGTTAGAAAGTGGAAGAATGGGTCTCAGTTTGAATAGTGAGAAGACAGAAGTAATGGTGGTATCAAAGAAACAAATTATTCCTAAATGTTTAATAAAAGTCGGTGGTGTTATTTTAGGACAAGTACTGGGTAAGTATCTGGGCACATGGATAACATCAGATGGAAGATGTATAACTGAGATAAGAAAAAGAATAGGACAGGCAAAAACTGCATTTTATAAAATAAAGAACATCTTATGCAATATATCTTTGTCATTGAGAGTTAGAAAAAGAATTCTTGCTTGCTACATACATCCAGTTTTAACATATGGCTGTGAATCCTGGAAAATCGGTAGGCAGGCCAAACAATTTTTTGAGATGTGGTTTTACAAAAGAATGCTTAGAATACCTTAGACAGCCAAAAAGAGCAACCAAAAGGTTTTGAAAGAGGCGAGAGCCCGGAGACAACTTATCACAGACATCAGAAGGAGACAGTCATCATTTTTCGGCCATGTTATGAGAAGAGGGAAAATAGAACATGTTGTGACCACTGGAAAGATCTGTGAAAAGAGGGATAGAGGAAGACAACGAGAGAAGATTCTTGACAGTCTTGTTGCATGGCATGGAGGTGTGTTGGCACATGAACTGATACATGCTGCAGAAGATCGCAGATTGTGGAAAGGCATAATCGCCAACGCCAGTCGGCAAGGTACCTGATGATGATTGTTCGTGTCTTCTTGATTCAAATTTAGAACTGGGAAATATTGCTCTGATTTAAGAAATTTTAGGTACAATGATTTTATTATTAAGTCATCTCTCAACCTGTGGCTATTCAGAACATTTTTTTTTTACATCTCCTGATTACTTACAATCTGTACAATTCTTTCCCTAAGCTCTACAATAGTTATTCTGTCATAACACATTCAATTATTTCTATTCAGCGCCATTTAACAAATGTTGTAATTCATAAGCAATTCGTTTTAGTTATTCTCCATGTTTCTGCTCTATAAAGGGACCTATGGCAGCACAGCAACATGTGTGCTTGCCAGTCTAAAGGTCAACGATCAAAACAGCAGATTCGTTCAACTGACCTTGGCTCCTAGATCCACCCAGGTAACATGGGTTCCAAGTAATGTTACTGATGTTGAGCAAATAATCTGTTAAGTACCCAGTGATCTTTAAAAATATATGTCTTACACTATATGTCTGATGTTCCAAAGATCCTTTAGTTGCCCCATACAACAGTAGAGATTTGAGTTAGTTTGAGCATGTACTGACTTAACAAGTAGCTCCACTGTTGCTGAAGGTAAAATTTCTTGATTTCTATCAAAATTAATTAGGCTGAAATATTTAAAGTGTAATTTGTAAAAGAAATTAAAGTGTTAATGCAAGGTTAGTTGAATCACAGCTACGCATGCCTTGCACTATCAAGATACATGTTTACATACACAGACATTCCACATATATCTTTGTGCTTACGTTCACAGCCAAAAGGGTTGAGCTCTTGTAGGTTCCAGTAGTTCTCCACACAGCGATCACACCTAGACCCAGTAACAAATGCTTTACAGGTACACCTTCCAGCCACTGTTCCAGCCACTTCATCAGTGACCTGTTCACATTCTCCATTCCTCTGTGAGCCAAAGGTGTCACAGTCACAAGCTGATGAGAAACAAGCATAAACAGGTCAACAGATTAAACTCAGTAAAAGTGACACCGATACAAAATAATACACATGAGAATATTTTTTTTTCAAGTCATAGGATCAGTGTAATCCAATGTGTAAAATTAGACACTTGCTATGGGAAATGCTGTTACATGAAAATTCCTAGAATATCATGAACCAAGAACATAGAAAGTACTGAAATTATTAAAGGTCTGAATTTCAACTGGGATTGAGGGGCACTTATTCTTAAACAGTAATGGAGGGGTGTCACTACTGATACATGATAATAGAGATTGCAGGTTGTGGAGAGACACGATCACTCATGCCAGTCAGCAAAGCAGTTGACAGTGATAATGATTTAGCATTTGTTAAATACACGTGGAGGGAAGTTGCCGTGGGGAAGCGGCTAGACGCTCACCACGGATCGGAAGGTCGTAGGTTTGCTCCCTGACGGAGCCGGACTTTTTTCAAAAATGACCTTGGCTCCCAGGTCGACCCAGCCTTGAGTGGGTACCAGGTGCAGTCCCGCCGGGAAGTAAAGGCCGCTGGAGTGATGCTGACCACATCACCTATCTTGTGCCGATTGGTCTTTAAAAATATAGGTCTAGCCCTATATGCCCTATACTCCTAAAGGCATGGAAAAGGGTCCTTTACTTACTTACTTGAATACACATGCAGATAACATACACAAACACGAAAAAAGTACCCCTGTGAGAAACTTACGCTGACAAATCTCAGGATCTCGAATGTCTCGGGTTGAATCCTGGAAGAAGAAAGGGTTGCATTCCTGGCAGTTGATGCCTCGAGTGTTGTGCATGCAGTTGTCACAGACTCCCCCACTGACTTCACCAGAGGCCTGGAACCTCGCAGCATCAAAGTGACACTCTGTAGCATGGCTGTTACAGTTGCACTCTGTGTTAGATAAAAATTACATGGTTATTGCAGTTACATTTTGTACAATATATATATATTATATATACAAATACATGGTTGTTACAGTTACTCTCTGTGTAAGATAAAATAACTTACATGGTTCTCGCAGTTACACTCTGCCCAATATATACAAATACATGGTTGTTGCAGTTACACTTTGTGCAATATTTACAAATACATCACTGCTGCAGTTACGCTATCTGTAAGATAAAAATTACACGGCTGTTGCAGGTTTACTCTGTATAAGATACAAATTTCATGGTTGTTGCAGTTGTTACATTCTGTGTAAGATAACAATTAAATGGCTGTTGCAGTTGTTACATTCTGTGTAAGATAACAATTAAATGGCTGTTGCAGTTGTTACAATCTGTGTAAGATAACAATTAAATGGCTGTTGCAGTTGTTACATTCTGTGTAAGATAACAATTAAATGGCTGTTGCAGTTGTTACATTCTGTGTAAGATAACAATTAAATGGCTGTTGCAGTTGTTACATTCTGTGTAAGATAACAATTAAATTAAATGTCTGTTGCAGTTGTTACATTCTGTGTAAGATAACAATTAAATGTCTGTTGCAGTTGTTACATTCTGTGTAAGATAACAATTAAATGGCTGTTGCAGTTGTTACATTCTGTGTAAGATAACAATTAAATGGCTGTTGCAGTTGTTACATTCTGTGTAAGATAACAATTAAATGGCTGTTGCAGTTGTTACATTCTGTGTAAGATAACAATTAAATGGCTGTTGCAGTTGTTACATTCTGTGTAAGATAACAATTAAATGGCTGTTGCAGTTGTTACATTCTGTGTAAGATAACAATTAAATGGCTGTTGCAGTTATACTCTGCGTAATAAAACAAATTGTATGGTAGTTACAAGCTAATCATCCTTGATATTCATATCTTAAATAATGCCAGAATTTCTTTGTTTTCTTTGTCCATGGTATCCTGAGAATCTTTCTATAGCATTTAGCTCATTTTTTAAAGACCCTTTTCCACGTCTTCAGGCGTATTGGGTATATAGTCCTAGCCTATATTTTATAGACCAATCGGCACTATTTCAGCTCAATAGCTGTTATTTTCTTCCTTAAGGATTGAGATATTCCATGAATCACATCCTTATGTTGCTACAGGGAAGATGCAAGCTCTCAAAATGCTGACTGATTTCCTTGCTAGTGCTTCACCACAGACTTTTAATGATACTTAATATTTGCAAATCCCAAATCAATCCTCATTGCGCCCAGAGGCACGAAAGGCAGAGACAAACTGTTGCCACTCAATTGGATCCTGAGCCATCCTCTCTATCCCCAATTTTGTCCTTCGCGTAGCCTTGAGTTCAGCCTCAAAGGTTCGCCTCCAAGCGCCTCTTGGCCTGCCTCTTCCTCGCTGTCCTTGTGGTGTCAACTGCATTGCTTGTCTCGGTTGTCTCTCTTTCTTCATTCTGAGAAAAAGTGTCCAGTCCACCTCCATCTTCATTTTTTGATTTCTTAATTTACATCTTCTGTCATTTGTTGTAATCTAGAATTTCTGATTTTATCTTCCCATGTGAAACCCAAGAATCTTCTTGGAAGTCTTCTCTCAAAACCGCTTAGCACGCTCTCTGTCTTTCAGTCTGTTTTCCAAGTTTCTGCTCTTTAAAGGAAAACTGTTCTAACGCATATTTTGTATATCCTGAGTTTAGTTTTAGTGCTGTAGATGTGTGATCTCCAGACACTCTGAAGTCTGTTGTAAGCAGCATTTACCTTAAGACTGCTAGAAATCCTCCTTTGCTGAACTTCTACCTTAAATAAGACAAACCACTGAAGGTGATCACTTACTTTTACAGACATTTGGCTGGTTAACTCTGGCTGGCCTCCAAGGATGGTCATGATAGAAATCTTCACACAGCTCACAGTTAAGTCCCTTGGTGTTGTGTGTGCACTCACACATGCCATGAACCTAAGTGATGCAAAACCAACCATGAACAAGTCAGCAATAGTGGCAATATTCATTAAATCAATATTACAAAAATAATGTTATTAACATAAAAATGTAGTTAGCTCAGCAATGAAAGATATATATATATATATTTTTTTTTAATATCCAAAAACCATGAGTTGTTAACCCTTTGGCTCGGTACTATAGATATCGCAACCCTTTGGCCTTGATTCTATGATAGGTACTGTAAATCAAGGAGAAAATGTAGCTTTATTGCCTACCCCCCAGGAGTGAACCCGGACCACAAGGAGTTCGTAACCCAGTCACCACGCAGTCCGGTTTAGCCAACTATGCTAGAGAGCCGGGCATGAAAGATACATAAAAAGTGAGTTGTTATCCCTTACAGGACATTGCAGAACCTACACCAGCATTGTTTTTTTGGCTGTTTGTGATTTTGCCAGGCAATTTCACATTTAGTAGTTTGCCACTGCTTCTGAACAGTCAGGTCTAAATACCATTAATGAAATTAATGCAAGATGGTCTGCTGTCAAACTGCCAGCAGCTGGGATCAAACCCAGTACCTTAGACTCATGTGATACATTCTGCAACACCTAGGCTATAGGTGCCAAAGGATACACAAACAATCTTTTCCCCATTTCTGCCACTTTGTTGAACATTGGAATTAGTTATGTCTTATTTGCACATGTGATAAACTGTTTGTCTGACAGATTTCTAATAGTCTTTTAGTTTTTCTTCATCATCTTGTTGTGCCATTAGATGTCACATATGGCAGTTTATTCTTCTATTCTATTCTATCCTGGACAACCGTTTCAATATCAGGGATGTAACCCAATCACACACCGTTAGTCTGTCTCATCAATATCTCTCTTAGGTTTCTTTGGGATATCCTCATTTACTCAACCAGGATGGGCTGTCCTGGGAAAGTAAACACAGCCGGCGTAATGCTGACCACATTACCCACAGAGTGCTGATGGTCTGTAAAAATATGGGACGCTCTGCCCATATGCCCGATGCGCCGAAAGGCGTGAAAAGGGATCTTTTCTTTACTTTACTTTACTTTTACATTTACTCAACCAATCTATCTAATTTCAGTGGGAAATTTTAGTTTTTGCTTCCTATTTATCTAAAAAAAAAAAAAAATAACTATTGCACAACTGGTCGATTTTTGTTGTAATTGTTAGTTTATTTTGTCTGTCAAGCTCCCTAGCAAAATGTTATGTTTATTTATTATTTTATCTTAGTTTTAAAGTGGTCACCCCTTGCCTGTCAACATTATCTTCTTTAGTTGTCATTGGTTTCCTATCCTAGGTCATCATCGTCATGTGCCTTGTTACACGGTGTAGGTATTCACTTATCTCCAATGACCTGAGTCCTTGGTGTTCTAAATGAATTCTACTGATGATTTTCCTTCCTGCAACAATCTTGTACTATCTATTTCCTTCTCTGTCTTGCATCTTACCAACACTGATATTTACAGCTGTTATAATGTTCTGGAAGAGAACTAAAAAAAATTTTGATAAAACGGCATTGTATAGAACACACCTTGAGAAAACATCATAACAATATAACTATAATGTCTTTACATTAGAACCAACAGGGGCACAGAAATACAGGTGCAAGGGGGGGGGGAGGGGGGGGGCACTGAGAAGGAAGCAAGAGAATGAAGTTAAAAAGACACAGAGGATATGGAGTCAGGTGCATGCAATAGCAAAGAATAAGACTATCACTATGCTCCACTAGGGGATAAAGGGCAGAAAAAAGAGAATGATCTCCAATCCTGCCATCTGCTAGAATATAAGATTAAAAAAATTAGTAATTTTATCTAGAACATTATTTGAGTTGTGTGCGGCCCTGTGGCTTAGAGATTAGTGAATGTGTTTCACAACAGCAAACTGTTTTTTTTTTTTTTTAATTATTTATTCAAAAAAAAAATCCCCTATTAGCTTTTGAGTAACATGTTTTGAATTTTGGGCACATTGTAAACAATGAAGATGCATTTCGAATTATTTACACCTCAGCCAACCGTAGCTTTTCAAAATTTGTGGAAGCTATAACTATAAACTGGTTTAGTCCAGAATTATACAGACAAAAGGACATGCTCTTCACCTTGTGTTTACCCTCCTGAAAGAGACAGTTTTTGAATGTAGTCAATTTTGTGTTTCAGTTCAAAAGAGTAATTATTTGCTTCATTTTAATCAATTTTAACTGTAGTATGCACCTGATGAGTTTTAAAATATGCCAGGCAATAAATTGTACAATCACCTGTTTGTGTCTTTTTTGTTCATATTTATTTTTTATGAACTGGCCTTTTAACCAGTGATATCAGAGTCATGCAGTGGAAAAAACTGTGGCCTCACTAAGTAAAATTACCAAAGACAGCAAGCCATGGGTGTACTTCTGCAGCTGACCTTCCTTGTGAAGACAGCACACCATCTAGGTAGATATTCCACTACCCAACCAAAGTGACTAATGAAGATGTCCTTTCAACAGTGACAACTCAAAGGAGAGTTGTTACAGAAATGAGATGAGAACAGTATACATTCTTTAAGGAGAAGAGAACAACTGAAGTAAGTTGTAACAAGTGGCTGGATTAATGGAAAAGAGACAGATGATAGTATATTTAACCTGTCGACACTGAGAAAGCGATTTTTTTCAATGTTTACGTTTTTTTTTTTAAATACACAAAGACTTGGGACAGTGGCCACTATGCTTTTATATATACACACACTTACATATGCGTGTGTGTGTTGGTTTTTACATACACACACATATATATATATATATAAATATAGGTGACCGTTTTAGCTGTGAAGCTGGAACAGTGACTAACGGCTAATGACTTACCTCTTCTGATGTCATTTAGAAATAAACCAGACCTCTTTTTTTTACAAGTCAAAAGTAACTGTATAAGCAAATGAGTGTTAACTTCTTTTATAAAGAGAGCAAGGCTCTAAGCTCCCACTCACCTATGCATGCATCAATCCATCTATTCCCACCCATTAATCAATCCACCCACCTATCTAGCTATGTGTGAAAACTAGTTCAATATAACATACAAGAATTCTTGTAACCTCCAATGACAAGGATTTATTGCATAACATGCACTTTACATTATGAACTGAAGTTCTGATCGTGCTGTTCAGTTCTATATCTCTGTGATATATTTTATATCTAATTTTACTCAGGTGCCAAGATAATGCAATAAATTCTCGCCACTGTTGGCACCCTGCAGTCTTTCTCATTGTGTGACACTGAGTTACAGACAGGTATGGAAATCACAGCTAATTAAAGCCACGGATGAATTTCCTCCTCTCAATGGCACAAATAATAATATGATAATGTATCCAATTTAAAAAAAAAAAAAAGCTAAACTGGAACTAAATCAGCCATGCACTCAGAATGGATAAGACCAGACTCCCTCATCAAGCCCTCATATGGACACCGGTAGGGAAAAGAAAACAAGGAAGACCAAGAGAGATCTTGCATAGAACCATCATCAGGGTAGGCTCAACCATGGGCCTAATGAACATCCAATACCTAAAACAGGTAGCAAAAAACAGCCAGATCTGGAAGACCTCTGCCTTATGTGCCGCACTAGGCCCAAGATGAAAGACTAACTAACTAACTAACTAATGGCACAAAACTTTAGGCAACATTGCAGACACCATGATACCCAAGAAGATTTTTGTTTTACCCATCTTATTCTGTTATCAGCATAAAACAATCAAACAAATAACTGGTAAAATAATGAGTGTTTGATGTGGGAGCCTTGTCCTATCCATTCTAAGTGCATGGCCAATTTAGTTCCTGTTTCACTTTTTTGTTTTAAAAAATGTAATACATTATTTTATTATTACCATCAGATGGAAAATGTGTGATAGAGATTAAAAGCAGAATAGGTCAAGCGAAAGCTGCATTTCAGAAAATGAAAAATATCTTATGCAATAAATCACTCTCATTTAATGTCAGAAAGAGGGTGGTAAAATGTTTTATAGAACTTGTTCTGCTGTATGGCAGCAAATCTTGGAATGTCAGTGAACAAATTAGGAAGAATATGAAAGCAACAGAGTTGTGGTTTCTGAGACAAATGTTACAAACACTTTGGACGGCCAGAATAACTAACGATTGCTTTAAAGAAGCTAATGAAAGTAGACGTCCATATACAACAATAAGAAAAAGAAAAACACTGTTCTTTGGTCACATAATGAGAAGAGAGACATTGGAAAACATCGTGACAACTGGAAAGATCAGTGGAAAAATGGGTAGAGGCAGACCAAGAAAGATGATGCTGGATGGGCTGAAATGATGGCATGGAGAGATATCATCAAGAGAGCTGTTCCAGGCAACCAGGGATCGTGATCTGTGGAGACGCATGAGCGCCTACACCAGTTGGCAAGACAAATGATGCTGGTGATGATAATGACTGACCCTAGTGAATATAAACACTGATCTTAAATACTGGTGCCTCAGCCTTTAAAGAGTTAAAATAAGCTCAGAAAGAGTTAGCTAAAATAGCAAGACAGGATGATGATAATGACTGATAACACAGATACAGAAATACAAGTATTACAGACCATAATCCTGCTGGTTTCTTCACTACGGTTGTAGCCAGGCACCGGCAGACATCTGGAAGCATGGCCGTAGCATGAACAACTTCCACGTACTGTAACATCGTACAGCGAGTAGTAATACTTTTCCTTGATCTCCTCCCTGTTGTCTAGCAGTGTATCACCTGTAACAAGCGAAATGGGATTTACATGAGAAGCATAAAGCAGCAGCATGAACACACGTTAAATGTTGTTGAATGTTGAATTGAGAATCGACATCAAAGCACTCGAGACACTCCCAAAAGTGTTCAGTCTCCATCTTCAGAAGCAAGGAAAGAGTTCCAATTCCGATGGTACCAGTAACCGTCTGTATATCCGCCTCATCCTTCCCCTGAGTGTTGAGCGTCAGCCAGATCCCCTGGTAACTCCTCGCATACACATGTTCTTCTTCTT